AGATTCCCCCGCGCGATGGCGGCGCAGTGGCGGCTCGGCGCTTCGTTGCGTCAGGACGGCGGCGGTGATGCTCCTGGTCGTTGCTCCGCCGCCACGCCCTGATCGCCCGCGGCCTTGACGGCTGACCTTGGAGACGACGCCCACCTCCCCTCCCCTGCCGTTTGAACCGCCGAGTGAATGGGGCACACACACACACTCACACACACACACACACACGCACACACACACGCACGCCACGCCGCGCGCTCCAGCCCGCGGGACAGCTGTGTAAGCAACTGCAGCTGTCACAGCCGCCGTTCTTCATCTCTCATTACTACTGGCTGGCCGGGCTTAGCCGGGCCGGCTGGTTTGGTCCTGGATAAAGGGGCAAGGCTGCACAGTGGGCCAGAAGACCGGTGGAGCGGCCAAAATCCGAGACGCGTTTTGAGCTCCAGAGTCGCTAAATGGGCCTCAACCCACGTGTGACCCCACCAATGAATTCCTCGTTCGGAGAGCAATCCATTGGTAGGGTCACTCGTTCGGTTCGAGTCCTGTTTAGCGACTCTGGAGCTCAAAACGCGTCTCGAATTTTGGCCGCTCCACCGGTCTTCTGGCCCACTGCGGACTGTTCCGCGCCAGGACCGAGAGTAGCCGCGGGCAGGACACACAGCACACGCGGCACGCCACTGAAAAATGAAAAGTTTTCTTGGAACCTGTGACGGCGGTTGTTCCATTGAAATGGCGAGTGCCGAACCGAATGCGAACGACTCGAGGTGCAGCCTTGCGGTCTCTCGTGGGACCGTGCTGCTCGTCCTGTCTCTCTCGCACTCATGGGGCGGCCCGGGCGTACCGTATGGGCGCGAGAGAGACAGAGTGACTCACGGAATGAGTCCGCGGTGCTCGCTATGCTGTGGTGCCAGTCCCCGCCGCACAGTGGGCCAGAAGACAGGTGGAGGCGGACAAAACTATAGACGTGTTTTGAGCTCCAGAGTCGCTAAATGGGACTCGAACCAAACGTGTGACCCCACCAATGGATTGCTCTCCGAACGAGGAATCCATTGGTGGGGTCACACGTTCGGTTCGAGTCCTGCTTAGCGACTCTGGAGCTCAAAACGCGTCTAGAGTTTTGGCCGCCTCCACCGGTCTTCTGGCCCACTGTGCGCCGCCGGCCGCTTCGTCACGGTTCTGTTGGCCTGCACTGCAAGTGCGGCTGCATCCATGCCGGCCACGCGGTCTGGTCTCAGACTCCGCGGCTCCGCGGTCGCTGATCCGTTGCCGTCGAGCCCTGGCGCCCTGCGCGTCGCGGCGATGCGGCGACGCCACTGTAAGACCGGAAGGCCGGAAGCAAGATGCCACCGGAAGGCAGGAAGGCGGGCGAGGCGAATCGAATCGAAGGGACAGACGGAAACAAGCGGCTAGAGTCACACCTCTTTTTGTTGCCATTGTCACCACTGCTGAGGCGCGGCAGGCAGTCCTTGAGATCCTTTTTATCTATTAGTAAAGTCTTTTCAGTAGAGTCTTTTCGGTTTCGGACACTGCAAAAACTTTGAATTACGACCAAAGTCATCTGTTTTACGAACTCAGTTCCATCCGTCTTATGACTGCACAGGCCTATCCGCGCGGCAACGCACGAACTCCGGGTATCTGTAAGGACTTTATAGTGTAGGGGTAACAAATGATGCAGCCAGGTGCCCGAAGGGAAGTGTGCAGCAGGAATACAAACGGGACGAGTCGGTCTGTCCGTCTGTCTTGCTGTCTGTCGGCCGGTAGTCACGGCAGGTCGGCCCGCTGCTCCGCGGGGTTCCTTCCTGCGCGGGCACAGTGGCCTGCAGGCCTGGAGGCTTCCATGGAGGCTGCAGGATTGGGGGACTTACATAAAGGGCCCGCCCCAAGGTCTCAAGGGCACCGGCCGACAGCGTCATCGGCCCAATGAGGGCGACCGCCAAAACAAAAACCTCGTCAGTGTAACGAAGGGACCCCCCGTGGCGGCGCGGCGCGGTCCCACGACGTCACCGATTTGCCCGGCGGCGCCGGCGGCCGAAACTGTAGACGTGTTTTTGAGCTAGAGTCGCTAAAAAGGACTCGAACCGAGCGTGTGACGCCACCAATGGATTCCTCGTGCGGAGGGCAATTCATTGGTGGGGTCACACGATCGATTCAAGTCCCATTAGCGACTCTGGAGCATAAAACGCGCCCGGGATTTTGACCGCCTCCGTCCCACTGCAAGTGTGTCGCCACTCGTCGCCACCGCGTCCGGCCACTGCAAGGGACTGCGGAGGCAGCTGGGATCGCCTGGCGCGGCTCTTGCAGCAGGTGCCGCACTTCTGCACCTGCAGGGCGACTCCGAAGTCTCGTGTCGCTCTGTCTCTGTCGCGCTCGCAGCGCGTCCCGTCGAGGTGCGAGGGAGACGGAGCGACGAGAAGATTCTTCGGCGCTGTCTGCCCGGGTGGTGACCACCTCGGTGACCGCCTCGGTGACCACCTCGGTGACCGCCTCGGTGACCTCCTCGGTGACCGCCTCGGTGACCTCCTCGGTGACCACCTCTGTGACCTCCTAGGTGACCTCCTAGGTGACCACCTCGGTGACCACCTCGGTGACCGCCTCGGTGACCTCCTCGGTGACCACCTCTGTGACCTCCTAGGTGACCACCTCGGTGACCACCTCGGTGACCACCTCGGTGACCTCCTAGGTGACCACCTCGGTGACCACCTCGGTGACCACGGCGCCCGTCCTTCCGCAGCAGCGCGACGAGTCGAGCACAGAGTTCAGTGCCGCGGACAGAGCGGGGAGCGGGCGGAGCGCGCCATTCAAAGTCAGCAGGCGTGGCACTTTACTTTCGTCCGGGTGTCACGAGGGGGGCGCCGTTGTGGTTTTGGCGCGGAGTGTACTTGTCGCTAGGCGGGCTCCGCGGTGCCGTCCACTGTGACGCTCTCGGCGCTCTTTGAGTCCTTCGCGAAGGCGCTTCCGACGTGCGCGCCGCGCCCGGACAAACCAGCCGGGTGTTGCCGGGCAGCGGGTGTCCTGCCCTCGTCACTCGTCGTCACTGCTGAGTACCCTGCCGCGGTCACCGGCCATTCGGCAGGCCGTCTCCGAGCACCCACACTACTATCACGTGGCACCCACACTCTTTTCCCACACCCGTCACGTGGCACACACACTGTCACGCGGTTCCCACACTCGTCACGCGGAACCCACACGTGACGGTCCGGCCGCGTTTCTGATAATCCGATCAAAGAGAAACTGGACGCCAATATTGGATTTCGCTGAGCGGCGCAATAATCCCATCCCGGCCGGCCGCCGCCGGTGCCGGCGGCTTGGTTGGCGGCGCACAGTGGGCCAGAAGACCGGTGGAGGCGGACAAAACTCTAGACGCGTTTTGAGCTCCAGAGTCGCTAAATGGGCCTCGAACCGCACGTGTGACCTCACCAATGGATTCCTCGTTCGGAGAGCAACCTATTGGGGTCACACGTTCGGTTCGAGGCCCATTTAGCGACTCTGGAGCTCACAACGCGTCTAGAGTTTTGTCCGCCTCCTCCGGTCGTCTGGCCCACTGTGCGGCGCGCTATAGCCGCTGCCGCTCGCGGCCGCGGTGTCAGTGAGTGACCCCGTTCGCAGGCGCTTTGTGTCCGCGTCCACATTGTTCCCCTTCGACAGACGAGACGGTGGATGCCGCGCCACGCCGCGGCACGCCGCGAGGCTAGACGCCTGCAGGCTTGATTAGACCCTGCGCACACGCGCGATCTGCCGCCGCGCCGTGTCGAGCCGAGCCGCGGCGCCGGGAACCGATTGGAGGCGGCGGTGCGTGGTGGCGCTAACGCTCGCTAACGCGCGCTAACGCCTTGCTAACGAGTCCATTCGTACCCCATCAGAGATAATGACATCCCAGCCCGACCTGCTCCTGCCTGGCTCCTGCCGTCTGATTCCGAACACTGCTTTCGTCGCTCTGTCTCTCTCGCACTCATGGGGCGGTCCGTCGGGGTGCGAGAGAGACAGAGCGACGAGGCAGTGTTCGGAATCAGACGGCTGCCGCCAGTCTTCCTGGCAGCCTGCCTGCCGCCCGCCTGCCGGTTTGGCCTGGCTGGCTGCGCGCGAGCCGGCGGGGCGTGGCGGCGATGGCGATCTGACGCCTGATTCCGAAAGGATCGTTTCGTCGCTCTGTCTCTCTCGCACTCATGGGGCGTCCGCTTGGGGTGCGAGAGAGACAGTGACGAATCGATCAGGCGAGCTGATGCATTTCCTGCGGCCACTCGCTGCCCCCACCAGCACCGCGGCGACTAGACGGCGGCGGCCTCGGCCCGGGGGAGGAATACCCATTGACTCCAGTTGACGGCGTCGCCCAGCGTCGCATCGAATGGCGCCGGGTGGGGCTGCCGTCTGATTCCGAGCACTGCTTTCGTCGCTCTGTCTCTCTCGCACTCATGGGGCGGTGCGAGAGAGACAGAGTGACGAAGCAGTGTTCGGAATCAGACGGCAGCCCGCCTGCGCCTGGCCACCGCCGCGAGGGCGTCCTTGCCCCGGGCTTGACGACGGGCTGCTTGCGATGTGCAGACTGAACCGGCGAGTCGTTTTCGTCGCTCTGTCTCTCTCTCACCTGTACGGAACGCCCCATGAGTGCGAGAGAGACGGGGCGACGAAAGCGACTCTGCCGCTCGGGGCGGAAACGGAAGAGCGGCGGCGTCCGGGCGGCGCTGGCGGCGCTCGGCATGCGGACCACGGCACGGCGGCGTCGCCACGGCGCTGCCTTGTCAGTGGCGCGGCCAGTGCAGCCGGTGACGCCGTTACGTCGAGAGGCCAAAGGAGGGCCGCGTGGCGTCGCGTCGCGCCCACTGCACTGCCGACCCACTTCGCTTCGGGCTTCGCCACCGCGGGGCACCTCGGGGCGGACAGCCTGGCGGGGTAGGCCAGCCCGCCGCGCGCGCATGCCGCGTGTGTGCCTACGCTGCAGGGGCTTCGACCCACTGCCGCTGACTGTCCACTGCAAAGTGACCCCGTTCTCAAACGTGCACTTGTTCTGCTTCCAGCCTGATACCTATGGCATGGCCGGCGAGACGGAGTCCGCGGCGGGGGCGGTCCACGGGGACCCCCAGCACGCCGACGACGACCAGGACACGCTCGTGGCGGTGCTGCTGTGGTCCGGGCGCGGGCTGCTGCTGCTGCTGCTGCTCCTGGGCGCGGCGGCCAACGCCCTCGCGCTGGTCGCCTTCTGCCGCGGCCCGGGGCTGCGCACGCTGTCCAACCGCTTCGTCATGAACCTGCTCGTGGTGAACCTGGTGGCGTGCGCGTCGCTGCTGCCGCTGCTGCTGCTGGACAGCGCCACGTCCATGGCGGGCGGCTCGGCGCTGTGCTCCATCAGCGAGGGCGTGGCCGCCGGCTACTGCACCGCCTCCATCCTCGGCGTGCTGCTCATCGCGGGTGTGTAGTACACTGCGTGCCACGAGTTTCTCTCTCGCACTCCGTGCAAACGACTAACCGTTGGTTTCTTGCCCCCGCAGTGGACCAGTACTACGCCGTGGTGGACCCGCTGCGCTACCACTCCAAGGTGGACGCCGTCCGGAGCGTGGCCATGCTGGCCGCGGCCTGGCTGTGCGCGCTGCTCGCCGGCATCCTGGGCGCGCTAGAGCCGCGCGGCGCCGGCCTGTGGGCCTCCTGCGGGCTGCGCGACCTCCCCGACGGCGACCAGGACGGCGTGTCCTTGTACCGGCGCGTGTACGCGGGCGTGTTCGCCGTCGTCGTCTTCGTCATCCCGTTCGCCGCGCTCTGCTGGATCTACGTGTCCATCTACAGCGCGGCGCACCGCAACTCGCAGCGGACGCGGCGCAACGGCTCAGGTGAGTGTAGGAGCGAGTCCAGGTCCAGGGACAGCCCGCCGGGCCGGGCCCGCCACAGGGACACGTGTGGTTATCGCGTGGCAAGCCGAGCCAGAAGCCAAGCGGCGTGCCGAGTCCGCCTGCGCTGCGGGCGGTAGGCAACGCAGCGGCCGCCATGCGTGCGGGCGGCCTACTCCGCGGGCGCTGCCGCCGCCTGCTCCAACGCTCCTCTCCCTCTCGCACTCCCACGCGTACCTACACTGCACCTGTCCTGCCTCTGCCGGCCCGGCCGGCCCTCACATTCCCGGGCCGCCGTGCCCACGCCTGGCGACGCCGGCGACGCCTGGCCTGCGCGTTTACCTTCAGCCGAGCGAATCTGAAGAGTTGTTTCGTCGACTCTGCCTCTTTCCCTCTTTCGCGCACCTACGGGACGCCCCGTGCCGTGAGAGCGACAGAGACAGAGCGACGAAGCGACTGTTCGGAAGGCTCGCAGATCCCTCGACTCCCTCTCGGGGAAGACCTTCCGTGTCGCATCTGATGTGTTTTATGTTGGTCGCGTTGGTCTAATGAGTCTCCTTGGCTGTGTTCGCAGGCTCCGTGGCGCCGTCCACGCCTCCCCCCGAGTCCAGCTGCTCCGAGTGCGGGGTGCGCTGCGTGGGGGTGGGGCCCACGCCGACGAGCTTTCTGAGCGGCCACAGCCGGGCCACGCCGCCAGGCCTGCCCGTCAGCCGCAGCGCGCCCGTCATGGACGCCGCGGCCATGGAGGCGGCCGCCGCAGCCGCGGCCGTGGACCAGCACCTCCAGCTGCCCGCCAGCCGCCGCAGCTCGCTCACGTCCGCGGCGGGCGAGGCGGAGCGCGCCGAGACCAGCTCGGCGTCGTCCTCCACGACGACGGGCATGATGATGCCGCCGCGGTCGGAGCGGCGGCGCAGCAGCTGCCCGCACGCGCACGCCGTCACCGTCACAATCTCCCCGCCGACGCTGCCCGTGCGCTCGGCGTCGGCGTGGCTCGTGTCGTCGCTGCGCTGCCGCATCTCCAACGCGTCGCTGTTCCGCTACCGCGAGGAGGGCCGTGCGGCGCGCGTGTCCGCCATCGTGGTGGTCATGGCGCTGGGCTGCTGGGCGCCCTACGTGGCCGTGCTGGTGCTGCACGCCGCGCTACCGCGGCCCGCCACGCCGGGCAGGGCCTCGCCCTTGGCCTCGCCCGCCCTGCCGCGCCACCTCGACGCCCTGGCGCTGGCCGCCCTCGCCGCCGCCGTCTGCATCTCGCCCTGCTTGTTCGCCTTCCGGAACCGCCGCGTGCAGAAAGAGGTGCGCAGTGCCCCGCCCGTCTACTCTAGACGCGTTTTGAGCTCCAGAGTCGCTAAATAGGACTCGAACTGAACGTGTGACCCCACCAATGGATTCCTCGTTCGAAGAGCAGTCCATTGGTGGGGTTAAACGTTCGGTTCGAGTCCTATTTAGCGACTCTGGAGCTCAAAACGCGTCTTGAGTTTTGGCCGCCTCCACCGGTCTTCTGGCCCACTGTGCCACCCCGTGGATTATCTAACTCTTCTCGTTGCTCTCCAGGTTCGGCGCATGCTGTGCCCGCGCGGTCGCAAGGGCTCGCTGGAGCGCGGCCGCGGCACCCTGGGGGCGTCCGGCATCAAGAGCAAGAGCCGCCTCCAGGTGAACGGCGGCGCGGGGGGCGGGGGCGGCAGCGCGCGGAGGCTGCTCCCCCACAACCTGATGGCGAGCCTGGCCGAGGACTGCAGCACGCCGTCGGACAGGTAGGCGACGTGGACAAGACGACGTGAAACGAACCTCTACCCCCGCCGGCTTCTGCCTGATGATGATTGAACCGCATTCACTTACCCATCTCTCTCCCTCACAGCACGTCGGCCCTGACGATCTCGGGCATCGGCAAGGGCGGCGACGACGACGCCAGCGCCCTGACGGTGTCCGTGTCGCTGCTGCCGGCGACGTCGCCCGGAGTGCCGCTGTGGTCGGCGCACCTGCTGCCCGAGGACGCGCTGGCCTCGGCGCTGGCCGTGGACACCGCCCGCAGCTCCTTCTCGTCGGGGGCGTCCTCGTCGCAGGGCTCCGCGCTCTCTACCGACACCGCGGACGAGTGAGGGGAGCGCTGCCAGTGTGCCAGCGCTGCAGACTGACCGACTCGGAGAGTCGTTTTCGTCGCTCTGTCTCTCTCGCACCTGTACGGGGCGCCCCATGAATGCGAGAGAGACAGAGCGCGAGGAGTGCGGGCGGTGGAATCGTTCGACAGGAGAGCAGCTCGCCCCGCGACCCGAGGCCGCGGCCGTGCCATTCTAGTGCCAAGGACTTTTTGCCCAATGATATTAAACTGTTTGGTCCTCAAGATGCACAAGTGATATTAATGACTGCGGTGTTCCTCCGTTGTGAGCCTTGCCTTGGCGTGTTCTGCTGTTGTCTTCTTAGATCTGTTCTGTTTCTCTTCAGAAGCCCCCCGACAATCACGAAAGCGTCTGAAAGGTGGCCTCTCGATGTGCTCCAACTGTTTGTCTGTCATGTGACCGCTTTCTGACTATACACGTGTTTGTTGTGTGCTTTGTATTTGATTCTGTTTAACCCCCAAAACAACCGAACTTGTCTGACTTTTCCATGTCTTCATGTGAGAATAACAGGCGACTTCTGGCTGTACTTGTATTCTCAAAAACCTGCTATTTTTATCCAACTTTTGGATAAAGAGCCAAATGGAGAATATTATCTCATAACTCTTACATGGGATCACTAGTCATAGTTTAATTGAATAATATTATTTTGGAGAGGTAATCAATTTCTTTCCCATGTTTATAGTCTGATGAATATCTCAAATTATGTACAGACTTAAACTGAGAGAAATGTTATTTTCCTTGAAGATCTTAAACTACATCTATACCAGAAGAAATTTTGCATCTCATGTGCCTCAAGGGCATAAACAATCTCAGGGGCCATTTGCTTCAGCTTCAATGGGGGATCATTCATTCATTTTTTACACTAGGCATTGCTCTCACAAACACTAAGTTTGTGATTAAATGAATACTGTGATAATTAGCATTGATACGTGTACATAATAATTGTTCTTTGTTCTTGAAATGTCTTAGAGTAAGGCTTGTTAACTAAATCCTGTAAACCAGGTGAACATGACAAAGTTTAGCTGTGTAAATGAAAAGTATCAAGCATGTTCACAAACTACAAAATTGACCCATCCTTGTCCTACTCCCTCCCCAAATTTATAATATTTTTGTCAAAAATAAATTTATTTAAGAAACATGATAAGTTGTTAAACGTTATTTTAAAACGTCCGTGTCACAATTTGCAGACCATTACACAACATGTTCGTTGACTAACAAGAACTGCAAATGGTAGGAAAGCTCGAGAAAATTAAAAATTATATGATACATTGCTTGACTTGGTATTGTAAAAGCCTCACAATACCCTTCAATTTTTAATTGTTATTCATTCACATATAAATAGTTGGTTGATGAATAATCAACATGAACGTCAGCAACAAAACAAAACATAAACACAAGAATAATTAATTACAAACTATGAACAAAATTGTGACATGACAAGCATTCAGCATTTACAAAGTATCAGGGCAAACGAAATATTATACAAAATTTAATCACAGCTGGTCATTATCACGCTTTTTTGCTCCGGAGTGAGTTGCCTGCACCACCAAATGCCTTAAACTCTTCACTGCCATCTTCAGCCTGCAACATAGGTATATAGACGAAATAGCAAACTTCATTCACAGAATCAAATGATTGAGACAAGGTAAGAATAATAGAAAAGTCTTACATTGGGATCTTTGGATGAAGCTGGTTTGGAATTCCTCAAAAACTTAAGAGTGCCAATTTGGTAGTTGTAATCAGGGATGCCCCTTTGGTATGGAACTGGTTTAGCAACGGGAGGTTCCTCAGATATAGAGGTTGTCTTCTTTTTCTTGCCATCAAGCCTGTAGAATATTTGGTTTCATGAAAATAATTTTTTTTTTAAAGTTAAGGAAAGAGAAAGAGCCAACAAAACCTATCATTTTACCTATTTCCTTCACCCTTGAAAGCAATGAATCCAGTGGGTTCTGGCATTAGTTCTGCAGGATCAACCTGCATTTCTTCTTGATTCCGTACTGGCTCTTTGTATCCAACAGGAGCAGCAAAGTCAACCTGGAAGCATTATAAAGTCTTATGTTAAAAATTTTCTACATCAATCAATAGGTGGTGTGTGGCACAATTTCACAAAAAACTTTAAAAGCTTACGTTCATATCACATTCGATAATGACAACAGCAGGTCCGGGTTTCGTTTCCAAGACAGAAAGTTCATACACTTTGTCATTGTATTTGATGGCTATTACATCTCCTTTAGTAAGACATGCAAAGGAACGGAGTCCATTTTCTAACACAGCCTTGGGATTTGTAATATCTAGAAAATCAACAGACTGTGGTTGAAAGCATGAAAATGTTGCTACAGGCAAATGTGTGCTCTCTACATTGAGGAAGTCTCCCTCTTCAAGCAAAAGATTGTGCATCATCTGAAACAAGGAACATTTTTGATCATCAAAGCAAAAGATTAAAATGGAAACAGATTAGTAAAGAAAAAGAGTTTAATGACTAACCCAGTGAGGTAAGTAAACTTTCCCTTCATCAGCTACAAATTCTAAAACACCACAATGAGTGATGCGTTCTGTTTTTCTATTTGTCAGCTTGAAAACCATAGGATAGTTAATGTTGAGCCGCGTTAGTTGATCAAGAGCTGATGGGGGCATTATAACTGTAATTTTAAAAAATTACAACGATATTAAAGCAATAGCTTACAAAATATGTATTTTCAAAGAGAACAGTTTACTTCTTCTCAGTACGTACTTTTGCCGCCTCGCTCAACATCATCTCTTTCATTCCCAGGCAACATTGAAACGGAAAAACATTTATACTGCACATTGAAGGGCCGAAGGGTCTCCGGAAACATGTTAAACCCGAACTGAAACAAAGGATATGTCATAACTAACAGATGGCTTATGACAGCACATTAGCCGAGCATAATTCCCAAGGACCCTGGCGAAACAAAGTAAAACAAAGGGCCACACTAAAGTAGGACTCCAACACAGTAAATGAACTGACCATAGTGAAAAACAAAGCAGCTTAACTAAAGAATGTCCCCTTGGATGAATGACACTTGCAGGAGGTCAATAAAAATTTTCTTAAAATGAGAAAACGTAATGGCCAGGCAAAACAAAGGCCAACAATCATTTCAATGAAACTGGAGACGAGGAATTGGCCATCATGAAGCACAAACTATAATGATTCTTTGTCAGATTGGGGAGAAAACAAATAGCAACATAACCTAGAAACCGTCAATGAATCAGCGGAATGCATTTAGAAAAAATAATTACCATCTTGGTGTGTCGGTATTACTTGGATTTGGTCGTAAATATAAAAGTAAAAACCATAAAATTTCTCAAAAATCGGCTACACAGTCCCAGCAGACGGCGAAACGCTAAGGACAGTGCCAAACAATCAGATGTGAGGAGAGAAACAGACGAAAGTATAAATAACGTCAGCCTGTGCGAAAGAGAGGGAAAGACAAGGGGGGTGGGGGTTGCGGAAGTAGGAGGCCAAGCAGCTGTTTCCCCCGCCACTTTTGAATTCAAGCGCCGAACGGAACGGACCCGCATCCCTGCAGCTCGCCAAATCGACCAAATCGCGTCCGTTCAAAAATAACATCGAGCAAAAGTCATACTCTTCAATTTCTGGTCCAATTACCTTACTTGTTTTGTTTCAAAAACACTTTTATTTTTCTTCGTCAGCAAAAACAAAAATTGTTAAAGAAGGAAAAACAAAAGACTGTGATAATTGAAACTTGTGTTGGGTGCAAAACAGGTCGTCCCCAAGATGTGTGGCCGGCCGGCCGCGGCTGGTGCCTTATTCCTTATTCCGGCCTGTCGGCGCCTCCTGAGTGGTTCGTCAGGACGGTCATCGCTTCCACTCCTATCGCGGGGGCGCTTCCGGCCGCAGAGCCGCGTAAGTCCGCCGCGACCACCCGCGAGTTGCGACACTGTAGGCCGTCCGGGGGGAAGTCCCGGGTAATGGGCTTGTTCCTCGGTGTTCCATTCCATCCAGGCGACATAGCAGGACAAAGGCGAGGGCGCCTCCCCGCCGGCTGGATTCGCGCGCCGAGCGGGACTCAGCGCAGCGGTTCGCCGCTCTGTCTCTCTCGCACTCGAGGGGCGATCCGTGAGGGTGCGAGAGGGACAGAACACTGGCGGTGACTCCGGCGGCGGTGGCTCCGGGCGGGGGCGCGCCGCGCCACCTTGGACTTTTCCAAGTAATGAGTCACAGAATGTTCCGGCGCCTGTCTTCCGGGCGGAGTCCCGCGCCACTCGACTTGGGGCGAGGGCGACGACGGGCTCCTGGAAAACCGAAACCAATTACCGGCTGGCCATGCCGGGCCATGCCGGGCCATGCCGGGCCATGCCGGGCCATGCCGGGCCATGCCGGGGCTGGACGGACCCGCCCTGCACCTCGCCGCCATGCCTCCACGTGTCCATGCCGCCGTCTATATATCCGGCCGGGGCGCCGGAAAAGCTCCTCACTCGGCCGACACCTGTCCCGGCCGCCGCAGCGCGCCCCGCACCCGCTCAGGAGAGTCCACGGTGAGTGCTATGCGCGCGATCTGCCTTCTTTATCTCTTTGCTGCGTCCCGAAGGAGTGCGAGAGAGACAGAGTGACCGACGGCTGTCTGCAGGGAAGTCCGCAGCAGCCACCGCGCCGAACCAGCCGCACGTCGGACGTCCTCGTCAAGCCGGTCTTCTCTGCAGCAGCATGGCGCTGGCCAAGACCGTGGTGACGGTGCTGGTGCTGGCCCTGGCGCAGCCCGGCCCGCTGCACGCCTACCCCGTGCCGGCGGACGGCACCGCCTTCTGGAAGCTCATCACCAGCTTCGGCGCGGCCATCTACGGCGAGCCCAGCGAGCGCACGGGCGAGCTGGTCAAGTCGTTCAAGCCCGAGTCCGGCATGAACCCCGAGGAGCTGGGCGAGTACACGCAGGGCGACATCCTGTTCACCAACAAGGGCGCCGCCAACGCCGGCCTGGGCCGCAACGGCCTCAAGGCGCCCTCCGCCCGCTGGCCCGGCGCCGTCGTCCCCTTCGAGATCTCGTACGGCTTCTGTAAGTGCTCTTCGAGATCTCGTACGGCTTCTGTAAGTGCTCTTCGAGATCTCGTACGGCTTCTGTAAGTGCTCTTCGAGATCTCGTACGGCTTCTGTAAGTGCTCTTCGAGATCTCGTACGGCTTCTGTAAGAGCTCTTCGAGATCTCGTACGGCTTCTGTGAGTGCTCTTCGAGATCTCGTACGGCTTCTGTAAGTGCTCTTCGAGATCTCGTACGGCTTCTGTGAGTGCTCTTCGAGATCTCGTTCCGCGTCCCGCCGACGGCAGCAAAAGTGCTCGGTCTTTCTAATTGCGGGTGAATTCGACAGCCAACTCGGACCGCCAGATGATCCTGAACGCCATGGAGGAGTACCACAAGCACACGTGCATCCGGTTCGTGCCTCGCCGCGGCACCGACTACGACTACCTGTACATCACCAACGGCAACACAGGTTGGTGGCTGGGGGTGCTAGTTGAAAACCAAAATTAAACAGTTATTAAAGTTTCATAATTAATAATTTTTTTTTTTTGTGGCGCAGGGTGCTGGTCGTCCGTGGGCCGCGTGTCCGGGCGGCAGGAGGTGAACCTGCAGTCCCCCGGCTGCCTGACGAAGATCGGCACGCCCATGCACGAGCTGATGCACGCCATGGGCTTCATGCACGAGCAGAACCGGTGGGAGCGCGACTCCTACGTCACCATCAACTGGCAGCACATCCAGTCAGGTCCGTACCCGAGGGGTGCCCCACTGTAAAATTTTGTTTACAATGATTGTGTGAATGTGCAAGATTGTGCAAGATTTTTTGCGTTTTTGCCAGTTGCCTACTTACAGGCGTTTTTGCCACCTGAATGTGGAATGTGGGCAAATTTTGTACAATGAATGTGGGAAGCTGTTCCCCCCTCGTCCGGACCTCGCAACGAGAAAAAGCCGAAATAAAATCGACGGTTTGGGTGGGATTTGAACCCGCGTTCACGAGTCCGATCCGTTGGTTTGCAGGTCGTAACAACAACTTCGACAAGGCCGACCAGTCGACGACGGACGGCCAGGGCGTCAACTACGACTACCGCAGCGTCATGCACTACTCGGCCAAGGCCTTCACCAAGGACGGCGCGGACACCATCTCTGCCAGGGTAAGGAGAGCTCGGGTTCGACTCCCGGCCGGGCGGACATTTCCTCATTTTCTTTCCCCCTGCTTCCATAATGCCTTGGGAGGGGTGGAAGAAATGGGTCTTTCGATAGCAGAACAGTGCTGCCTCGGAAGTGGACGAAAATTCCCACAAGTATGCACCGAAAGGGTTGCCGCGGGGTTGCCAACCTCAGCCTGCCTCTAAGCAGTCTTGGCTTCGCCACCGAGAGGTTGCCTGGCACGCAAGCTGAGGATGGCAACCTCAGCCTGCCTCTAAGCAATGTCTTGCCTTCGCCACCGAGAGGTTGCCTGGCACGCAAGCTGAGGTTGGCAACCCTTTCGACACCGTTCCGTGGAGGCAATTTTCGCCTGCATCTCACTCAGAAAAGCTTGCAAAGAAAAGTACTTTTCAGTACAAAGTATTCTCCGGCATTGTATTACAAACTCCCTTGCGAACTTTTTTCTTCGCATTGCAAAGAAATAGTTCGTAAGTTGCAAAGAAAAACGTTTGCAACGTTGCGAAGCATTGGTTAGTAACGTTGCAAAGCATTTTCTTTGCAAGTTGCAAAGAAATACTTCGCAATGCAAAGAAGATAGTTTGTAAGAGAGTTTGCAATACGATGCCCGAGAATACTTTGCAAGGATTTTTGAGTGCTGGCAGCACTGAGCCCTGGCTGACCGCAGGTTGGCGGCGGCGGGGTCACCATGGGGCAGAGGGACGGGTTCAGCCGGGGGGACATCAAGAAGCTGCGCGCCATGTACAAGTGCTCGGGCAGGACGTCCGGCCTGTGAGCTGCGGCGCTGCAGCGCCAACAGCGTGCGAGTAATGTGTGTGGTGGTCGCGCAGGGCTACGGCGGCGAGCTCGGCCAGCGCGACGGCTTCAGCGCCGGCGACATCAAGAAGCTCCAGACCATGTACAAGTGCGTGGGCAGCAAGACCATGCTGGAGGACTGAGCGCCTCCCCGACGCCGCCCGGCGCGCCAACGACTGAGACCGGCCGCGCTGGAGCAGGAGAAGAAGAGGAGGGTCCTCGACGGAGCACAGTGGGCCAGAAGACCGGTGGAGGCGGCCAAAACTCGCGTTTTGAGCTCCAGAGTCGCTAAATGGGACTCGAACCGAACGTGTGATCCCACCAATGGATTGCTCTTCGTCCGAGGAATCCATTGGTGGGGTCACACGTTCGGTTCGAGCCCTGTTTAGCGACTCTGGGGCTCAAAACGCGTCTGGAGTTTTAGCCGCCTCCACCGGTCTTCTGGCCCACTGTGCGGAGTGCCTCCACGACTCGCTCCGCGACGATCCATCCGACCCAGGATGACGCGAGGGAATTCCCAACGCGGTTTGATCTCATTTCGTCTGCAAGCGTGGCATTCCCGGGGAAAGCAAACTCGCTCGCCCGTCGAACGCCAATGCAGCCAATGCAGCCAATGCAGCCAATGCACTCGCAGCCCTTCGACCACGGGCCGCCAGCCCAACGAACGCGAAACACGAACGAACTCAAAATGACGTCATTTTAGAAATTTGAACGACTATATAGTCATATTGACATGAAATGGCGTCACGGTGAGCGTTTCGTGTTGTTCTTTCGGAACTTCGCCTGCTGTCGTCAGCGTTTTTATGTAAAACTGGAAATAAAATCCTGGAGAATCAGGATTGAGAGAGAAGAGGAGAGGATGTAATGTCGAAGTGTTTTGCCTACGTTTTGAATAAAGGTGATGAAACATATTTACTCTTCTTTATGAATTCCCCCACAATGACAACGTCTTTCTAGAATGTATGGGGGCCGGTTGAGAGACGCTGGAAACGAAACCAGAGTTTGAAAGAAGGGCTCTGAAAACACATTCCCAGCTCTTCAAATGTACTTTTTCACAAATGAGTCGTCGATTTTTTTTTGACAACGTCGTTAAGTTGAGTACGAACCATTATTACATGTCCCCCATAAACAAAAAAAACAAATTAAAAACCGTGACAGGACAAGCCGGCGGCATAATTACACGCCCACACAAAGAAGGAAGAGGAGGCGGTAGGCGGGTTCGTGTTGTGCAAAACGACCCCCGTGTTGGAGCGCCGCTATCTCTGCCTCGGCCGCTGCCCTGGCTGCCCCCTTGCCCGCGTTCCGGTTCTTTCGTCCTGAAAAGTAGTTGGCTATCGCGGCGACAGCGAAAGACAGCGTGGACAGACAGCGACAGCACCTGCTGCCGTCACTGCACTGCCAGAACTCGAAGCCGCGCTTCCTCTCCGTGCGAAAGCCCTCAGGGTGGGAGGGGAGGCGAGGGGTGGTGAGGGCGGGGCGAGGCGGCGGGGCGGGACGCAGGCCGCGCGCAGTCCGAGGGCGACACCGCGACGCCGACGCCAGGTTCGCGGCGTGGACACCTCCCCGAAGGCCGCAGGCATGCACGGCGTGCTCCGGAGCGTCCTGGCGGCGGCGGCCTTGGCCCTGGCCTCAGGTAAGCGTGGTGGTGGCGGTGCAGCTCGATCTTGAGCGCGGTCTTGACGGAATCTTTGAACGTGTTTGGCAGTGACCGACGGCAGGCCGGCGCAGATCGCGGTGAGTCCCGCCGTGGCGATGTAGAAATGCAGCAGCCCCGCTTTGCAATCCGGTAAGTGTGCTAAGTGGTCACGGTCCGGAACTTGCAGTTGGTGCGGATGGCGCCCTCCTTGGAGGAGGACATGGGCGCCCCGCGGGAGTACCCGGTGAGGGACGGCCTCGGCGACGAGGTGCTGCTGGTACCGCTGCAGGCGCCGCCCCTGGCCGTGAGGGACGTCGAGGAGGAGGAGGAGGACCATGAGGACGACGGTGGCGCGGCGGCCTTCCTGGCCAGGCTGCTGGGGACGCAGTTCGCGGAGGACCCCGTGGAGGGCCCTGGCGCCATGCGCTTCTTCTCCAGCTTGGACCCCCTGACGCCGCTCCCCGCCGCGGAGGGCGGCGCTGGCGGCGCTGGCCTCGGGGACGGCGACGACGTCGTGCTGCTGCGACTCGGCCGCAGCCTCAAGTCCGCCCTGGAACCAGATCAAATGGAGGTAAGCCAAACCCGAGTCAGAGAACAAGTGCGGTAAGTATACTTGGTACTTGAACCTAGATTTTGCAGCCACGGGAGACTCGCGTCCTGGAGGACGACGTCGACGCCTTGGGTGCGGACGACGACGACGAGCAGGAGGACGAGGATCTCGGCCTGCGGCGGGAACATCTCCGCAGCCGGCGCGCGGTCCGCGTCGCGGTGCACCAGGAGCCCGGCGCCATCCAGGTCGCCGACGACGGCCCCCAGGGCCGCGCGGATGCGACTACCGCGACGCCGGAGTCGGAGTCGGGGTCCTTCCTGGAGACGATGCAGAACCAGCTGCCGGGCCAGCTGCAAGGGATCGGCGAGGCCATCGCGAGCGCCTTCGACCCGGACTACACTGATGAAGGCGACGGTGACGGCGGCGACGACGACGGGGGCCTCGGCCTGCGGGATGAACGTCAACACCTCCGCAACCGGCGTGCGCTGCGCATCGTGGTCCGCCAGGCGCCTGGCGCCACCCAGGTCGCCGACGACGGCGTCCAGGTCGCCGACGACAGTGTCCAAGGCCGCGCAGACGCGACGACCGCGGCGCCGGGGTCCTTCCTGGAGACGGTGCAGAACCAGCTGCCGGGCCAGCTGCAGGGCCTCGGAGGGGCCATGGAGGACTCGCGCATGATCGTGGGCACCTTCCAGGCCGTCATCATGCCCGGCTCCGCCGCCACCGACATGGGCCAGCAGATCCAGGGCTTCATCTCCAACATGCCGCAGATCCCCCAGCTGCCCGGCGGCGGCGGTTGACACACTGTACCTTGTCTTTCGTTTTTATTAATAAACAAAATTTGAGTTAAGTACCTTGCGTTTTGTTCTCATTGTTCAAGGCCAAAGAGGCCAGGATTCAGTTCAGAAAATAACTTTAGCACAGATAAATTTCGTATCCTAACTGGTGAAAATCGTCACTCGAAGTTTGAGCATCTCAAATCTTTTTATTTCTTTTAATAATCGTCCTACAGACGACTGTTTTGCGAGATTGAAGGCGTCGATGTCGATACTACTCCCACCCCAAACATGAAGCAAAATAATTTCGATCATTTCTGTGCGCCTTTCCCAGGTCGAGTGCACTGGGAAGCGTGAAACCAGTTCCCGCCGAAACGTTCAACGTCCACCGCGTCGGCACACGACTATTTTACCGCACGCCGGGTGATATGCATATCAGGATTCGGGCGATACAGGCTGGCACCTCCGGGCCTAGAGCGGCCGGACTCGCCCGGGCTGCCTAGGCGTAGACTTAAGTAGGCCCACACCCGAAACGGCCGAAACGCAGGGACCGCCAGGCAGCACGCGCGCCCACACACGGTCCCCGACGCTCCGAGGAACACCATGAGGACGGCGGCACTGCTTTGCCTGATGGGTGAGTGGCGTGGTTTCGGCTCGACGATGCCGCGGGGGTTCTTGTCCTTTTCGAACCCGTGGCCTCAATCTTGCAAATTGGAGTGGCCCTGATGTCCGCCGTGTCCACAGGCGCGTTGGCGGCGTGCGCGGCCCAGGATGCGGCCCAGGATGAGGCCCAGGATGAGGCCCAGGAGGGCCGGGGCTTTCTGGACAACATTCCGGCCTTCGGGGGCATCTTCGGCGGTGCAGGCGGAGGCTTCCTCAAGCCGCCCACGTCCCCCAAACCGGTGTCGACGACGAGGCCTCCGCCGCCCTACACGGGGACGCCTCCACCCTCCCCGACGACGACGACGACGTCGTCTCAGCCCTCCACGACGACCACCGAGCCCTCTACGACGACCACCGAAGGCCCCGACGAGTGCATCGAATGCCAGGAGTGCCTGGAGGTCGGCGAGAACGGCGGCACCAGCAACGCGGACCTCTTCAACGGCATGGACTGGCAGGACGTCTTCGGCCCGTCCAACCAGCAGGAGGTGGAGGCCGCCCTGCGCGAGTGAGGCGGAGCGAGAGCGATCCAAAGAACACGAAACAGTCAAAGGACGTCAAAATCACGTCAAAATTATGCTGTTTTGGTCGAAATTTTGACAATAATTTGTCATATTGACATCAAAATGACGTCACTGTGAGCGTTTCGTGTTTTTTTGGGGAGGGCAGCGTCCCCACTGTTAGCAAACTCTTTGAAACTGTGAAAGCCTGAATATCAATAAAGTTCATCGAATCCGGAAAGTAACCCATGAGCCTCGAGCCGCGGGCGCGGAGCGCTTCGCTTCGCTTATCTAGGCGAACGCACAGTGGGCCAGAAGCCGGTGGAGGCGGCCAAAACTCTAGACGCGTTTTGAGCTCCAGAGTCGCTGAATGGGACTCGAACCGAACGTGTGACCCTACCAATGGATTCCTCGTTCGGAGAGCAATTCATTGGTGGGGTCACACCCTCGGTTCGAGTCCCATTTAGCGACTCTGGAGCTCAAAACGCGTCCGGGGTTTTGGCCGCCTCCCCCACTGTGGAACGGGCGAGCGCCTGCGAAGTGCGGGGTGGGCCCGTAGAGCGGGCGCGGCGTGCGGGACTGCCTACCCTCCGATCCACAGGCGCTGGAGGGAACACTCCACTCTGCGCAGCGGCGCACAGCCATGATTTTGGTTGAGTCGAGCTGAAAGTTTACGAGTGTGAGTCCAAGCCACCCTCCGTGACACCAATCATTAAGTTTTACATTTTGAGACGGCTTTTATTACGATAAAACCTGAAATGACAACGAGAAAGGCACAAGATCCCGCATTATTAAAGCTCTTTGACAATACCCATGTAAATTTCACGTTTTATTCCCTATTCCTTGGAAACACGAACCAAACACTGTCTTTGCGCTGCTTCCTACCCCATGCAAGAACAACAAACCAATCCAAAGTTCCCCGGAGTTCCGAGATTGAGAGACGAAACCGGATGTGGGGCCTGTTCTGCGAATACCGTATTTCCCAAGTTGCTCAAGCATCCTTGCCTCGTGTCTGTGAGAAGGTTGTGTGAGTGAGTGTGTTTGTGTGCATGGGAGGTGCACTCACACTAGAGTCACAGTAGTATCGAATTTAGTTCAATGTTTCAGTTATCTCCCAGGGTATGGTTTTTATCTTTCCATGACGTTTAAAAGTATTCGCCACAAGAAACATCTGCTATGAACTGCCGTGAAAGGTACCCGAACGAATCCCTAGACAAGTATAAACAAGCAAGGCCTAAGAGCAGAAAATTTCTTTGTTTGGACACCTTTTTCGTGTTTGTTTTATTCTGAGTGATTCGACTCTTTGGGGAACAGCCGGTTCAGTACCAACGGAAATGACTCTAAATGTGTTTTCAATTTTCCTATGACATAAGAGCACGGTTATCTTCATTCGTAGCGACCTTTATCGTGTTTTATGTCGTCATGGCTCTCAGACAGCTGGGCCTGGGTCAGCTGTTTTTTATTTGACATTATGACAAGATTTTATTAGGTTGCATATGTTTCAATTTCCATTAATTTTTGTGCTTTTGATGGCATCCTTGACATGGATAAATTTTAAGCTTTATTTATGAATTGTACTAGAAACCTGTCAATTTAGTTGAGTTTATTGACATTTTCTTTCTGAAATGGCTCTTGGGTGTTATTTTGCCTGTCTTTAAGGTTATGATTTTGTCTTGTGCAGTTTTCGTAATTTAAATTTTTTACTCTTTGTATTAACAACCATGAACTCTTTATTCAGGGCTGTTCACTTGTTCCTACCTGGTCATAACTGGCAATTTTAAGGATTGAACACTTCTTGTTCGGAGCTTTGCTTCTATTTTAATTGCAGTAAGAGAGTTTGTATTTTTATTAATACTTTAAGTCAGCTACGTTGAAAAATCTTATGCTTTAATAAATCTATCAGGTTACTACAGTGTCCGCTTTTCCTACAGCCATGGATATGATGTTTGAAGCATATCTTACTAATGAAGTACAACTGGAGCCAGATGACATCCCCAACACAAAGGAACCTGTTTGGATCCTGGGGAAGAAATATAGCGCCATAGATGGTATGCCACTTTGCTCACGCCTTTCATATGTCAGTTACCACAGCAATGTTCTTACCTTTTACCTCTTCTGTCTTGAAATTTTCAGATCTGGAACTGATTCGTCAAGATATCCGGTCGCGATTGTGGTTTACATACAGACGAGGCTTTGTGCCAATTGGAGACTCTGGACTGACATCAGATAAAGGTTGGGGTTGCATGCTTCGTTGTGGACAGATGGTTTTGGCCCAAGCGCTTCTTAATCTTCACTTGGGTAAGATATTGCTCTCTGATAACGAATATTTAAGAAAATGTTGCTTTTCTGTTCAGTGGAACTTTGTATTGCTACACTAATTAACTCTCCGTAAACATTACTCTCTATTTTCTTTCTTAATGTGAATTATGTAATTCCAGGTCGAGATTGGGTGTGGAACTCTGACACCAAATCTCAGCCATACTTGCGAATTTTGCGCCTTTTTGAAGACAGGCGATGTGCTGTATATTCCATTCACCAAGTTGCACTTATGGGTGCGACTGAAGGAAAGGAAGTGGGCCAGTGGTTCGGGCCCAACACAGTGGCGCAAGTCCTCAAGTGAGTACTAATCATATTATCTATCATACTGGCCCTAGTTCTATGAGTCGTCTTTCCAAAAATTGGTTTTATTGTATTAAGTCATGAAAATATTCTTTCTCTCTAATCATCAGGAAACTAGCCTTCTATGACGAATGGAGCTCAGTGGCATTCCATGTTGCTTTGGACAATACCATAGTTATAAATGAGATCAGTAAGTACATAATTTTGATGTAATTATAAATTTTATTTTATGTATTTCCCACCCTCTCTTGGTGTGATATGCCTGATTATTTTATCAATAGAACAGCTATGTCGGGGCACGGAGCCAGGGAGTAGGTGGAAACCACTGGTCTTGGTCATACCATTAAGACTTGGTCTAAGTGACATTAATCCTATTTACATGAAAGGACTCAAGGTATTTGCACAATTTTTATTATCTTTACTTATTTTAATACAGTAGTGAATGTCCACCTTTAACATTTACTGATTTATAATTTTCTAGACTTGCTTCTCATTCCGACAATCTTTGGGTGTTATTGGTGGCAAACCAAATCACGCATTGTACTTTATAGGTTGTGTAGGTATGTATCGGTATTCATTATTATTCATATTTACCCTGGGTTTTACTAATCAATCAATCCTTTTCTGCCTTTTGCTCAGGTGATGAAGTCATCTATCTAGACCCTCATACAACACAACAGACATGTTTTGTTGAGGGAAAAGACAATGAATGTGAGCGTCAAGCAGATCAGACTTACCATTGCCAGCATGCAAGTCGACTACCCATTTTAAATATGGATCCATCCCTTGCTGTGGTTAGTGATGAAGATGCCTTTCTTGGTAAGATTCTTGAAGATATTTTCAGCCGAGAGTGTAATGTCCTGGTATGTTTGTTTCAGTGCTTCTTTTGCCCAACGGAACATGAATTGGATTCTTTGTGCCAATTGTTCCGCGAGAGGATAGTGGAACAGGAAAAGCAGCCACTATTTGAAGTCTGTGAAGACAAACCTGATCGTTGGTCACCTGTCAGTAAGCAAGACGACCTATTAGGTGCCTGGGCTCAAGAAGGTAATGATATTGTTATTTGTGTATATACATGAGAAAGGCCTTTCTCATGGTATATACCAGAAAATCCACCAATTTTTGTCCCTGTCAAAGTATTCCAAGTAACTACCAATGCTGCTTTCTTTACAGCGAGTGAGAACATGGACAGCACGCTTGATGAGTCTGATGAAGACTTTGAATTATTAGGGTGAAAGGCAATCTTAAATCATTTCCTACTTTTGAAAATTACTAACAAAGCACAGGAAAACTATTGTAGGGAGTAATGTTTGTTGCCTTTTTATACATTTACCTGTTACCATCGTATTTGTTTTCTTAGTTTTTAAGAAGAAAAAAAATGTTCTAATTGTATGGACTTATTTGAACAACTGAGTTGAGGAATCCATGAAAACAGTGTTTCATTTTGTGTGATTTTCACTGTTTTCTATTGCAGTCAGTGTCTCTTTCTTTAAAAAAAAAAGAAAAAAAATACACTGAAAAATTTCTTGGTCACAAAATGTGTTGTGACAAATACAAAATTTAATCCTAGGGTTTGTGGCCTGAATCGAATATGTGACAGAATTTACTGTCTGTACCTCCAATTACTGGCTACTGGGTCAGATTCTTTATCTGTTATTGTAATGGTCATGTGCTCCAATGTACTTTGAAATGATATGCAGTTAAAATCACAGCTCAACATGCCCCTAGATGTTACACTATGTGTGGGCCCGAACCATTTTAACATTTCCAGGTGGTATCATAGTTCAATATCTTGTCTCTTGTACAATCACTGTGATTTTTCAATATTTATTACTTATGAATATATATTTAGTCAAGTTACCCAAAGACGAAATCCATGAAAAGCTATTTAGAGGTGCTAGTGAGTAGAAAAACCAACAGGTAGGTCATAGATTTGATGTATCATTTCGTCTTCTAATTTAAGCCTGCTTTTAAGTGGAGTGATTGACTTGCGCTTGCAATTTCCGTTAATTGTGCACCTTAGCAGATGTCTACTGGTTTTCTATTTATGGTCATCCACTATTTCAAGAGAAATTCATGTTCCTAGGCACTTTTACGTCTCAATGTGGTTCTTGTACTTTTACTTGTTAATTATAATTTCTTTTTTTTTTGTTTTTCTTATTTGTTTTGAAATGAATGTTAAGTTGAAATTTATTTGTTGAGAGTTGCTTTGGCAGCCTTGCATGGACAGCTTCATAGCTGAAGTGCAGCTCCCTTGTTTCCAACCAAGCTATGTACTTCATGATGCTACCTGTTACGTATATAAACTTTTTGTTTGTTTTTCATTTGGCAAAAGTTTTGTGTGGTATTCCCATGGTTTTGCCAAACGAAATTGAGTAAAATTCAGTTCATGCTATTGAAAGATAAAATATATTTTTAAATAAATTTAAGCTATTTCACCGGACTTTCTTCCTTATTCCCTACCACCTTCTAGGATTATCATTCAATGAGACAATTGCTTACCAGCCAGCAAAACTGCTGTAGAGGAGAGGCCTCTTCTACTGCCTTTTAAAATGTTTGTTGTAGTAGTAGTTTTTGCGGGTAGGGGAAGGGAAAGTAGTTAAGAGGTAAGCCTCTCAGAAAAAAATAAGTTTCAATCCAGAGTAAAACATGATCACAGAAGTTTTTATTAAATTTAAAAGACGAGGTAAAAAATGGTCTTTTACCAAAAGTATTCAAAAAAAGGGAGAAAATCAGTAATTCATAATTTTAATTTTAAGCTTAGAAAAAAAAAAAAAACTTGTGAAATTGTGAAATGTACACCATCTTTGGTTGCCAATTATTTGTACAACAAAAATTATATCTAGTCACTGCTGAACACTTTTTGTAAAGACGTAATAACAATACGAAGAGAAAATTTCCAGTCATGGCACACAGAATGACGTGCTGAGTTTCCTAAACAGACTGGAACAATCACATCAAAAGGTGAAATAAGAAAGAAAATTGAACTAGCTAAGTGACTTTTTGTTAGTCAGTTGAGTCACTATCACTTCCTTGTACATCAGTCTTCCTGGAGTGGTTATTGCTCTGAGTTCGGCCCTGTGTATGACTATGTCCTCGACTACGGTTAGAGTTGTGACTATGACTGTAACTATGACTTCTTCTTTCCTCTTCATGCCTGCGATGATGTCGATTATGCTCTCTTGGCGGGTCTATTGATTCAACTGCATCGTACTTTTTTCGGTGGCTACTCTTTCCTTCCTTGTGGTGCCTGTGGCTCCGATATTCAGTATCACTGTCATCACCTTGGCGCCGCTTGTGGGAAGGAGACCTGCGAGATTAAATTTTGGTAAGGAGAGATTATATCATTTCAATTAAAAAGGACTATGTGATTATTTTGTCCTAACCTGGAGTAGGACATGGAGCGGGATCGAGATCGAGATCTGTCATGTTCCAATTCAGAGGGTGATGAGGAATCCTTTTTCCTCCTTTGTCTATGATGAGATTTCTCTTCTCTTTCCTTTGATGACTTCACAGGACTTTCTGACTTACGTTGGCTACTGGAATGAAATGAAAAAGACAGTTAAATAGCGCATGACACTCGTAAAATAAGACTATTACTGACAGAGCACCTTGACTTTTCCTTGGACACATCATTTTTGTCAGCTTTTCTTTGTCTGGACATCTCAGTGGAAGCTGAAATTGCACACAGTAAAATTGGTCAATACAGTATGTAAAATAAAAAATTAAATCCTGAATACCACATGAAGAAATAAACCACCTGCAAGTCTAGCCATTAAAGATGTTTTAGGAATGCCTGCCTCATGGAAACTAGTCAAAGTGGAGTCTAACTTTTCCCTCCTGCAAGAAAACAAACCAATATAGATGAAGTTATGTAAAGCTGAATCCAACAGAGTCAAAACAGGCGGAGAAATTGAGGCACACACTTTAAATAAGTTGGAGATGGAGTTGAATGCCTTGATGCTGCATCAGAATCACTGGCAGGGCAGGAAGCACCTGTAATCAACATGTACCCAGTGCAGAAAACAAAACAATAAACCTTTAGAACAATTCATAATGCAAACAACATTCACTGTATTACCGTTTCTTTTAAAGGGACGATCCTTTTGAAGTCTGCTTAAAAATGCAGCTGCTTTTCTTTTCCTTTCGAGACGTGTGGTGTCTAGAAAAACAAAAGGAATGATGTAAAACACAGAGTGCAGAAAAATTTAAGGATTATTATTAATTAATTTTACCAGATATTTTAGGAGCATCTTCAGTGAGATCAATTATTTCTGTTTCAGATATTTCCTTCAGAAGGTCATCTGAACTAAAAGGTTTTACTTTTGTTTCAGTTTCATTTTTCTTTGTAGTGGCAGATGTTTCATTCCCCACAATTTTTATTTCCTCAGGCATTGCAATGTCCAAAGTTTCATGGGTTTCAACTGCACACTTAGGTTCTGGCTCAAGTGTTTCTACAACGACTGGTGGTGGTAGAGGTGGTGGTGGAGCAGATTCAGGCAATGGAGGCAAACTTGGTTTAGGGGTAGACTCAATTTGAAATATGTCCTGACTCCGCTTTTCAGAAATTTTTCTTAGTCTTTCCTGTTCTTTGAGTTGCCTTTCTTTTTCTTTTAGCAACTGCTGAAGCCTTTTCATCTCTTCCTCCCGGTTTGGCAAAGCAGGAGGCGGTACATCAATTGGGTTTGTATCTGGTGCAGAACTACTTGGCTTTGGTGCTGTTTCTCCATCACCTTCAACATCTTCTTCTGAACTTTCTTCCTCAACAGGAAGAGCACTTTTGACTTCTTTCAGTATTTCTGCTTCCTTGGGCTTCTTTATGGAGAAACAGACTGGTGCTGGATTTAGGGAATCAAAGAATCATGTTAGAATAGTGTTGACAGAAAGTCAACCAAGGGAACGTGAATTGTAAATGGCCAGGCTCTCTTACCTAGTTTAGGCTTTCCTCTTGAATCTTCTGTATCAGACTCATCGCCTTCAGACTCAGAGGAGTCATCACTGTATTCATAGCCAGGAAGGAGAATCGGACGTTTATTTTTCTCTTGAGGTGGTTTTTTCTTAATGGGATTTTGAATTGGATTTGGAGTGCCTGTGTTCTTGCTGGCAGTAGCTACTCCCTGGGTGAAATTTCGTGGCTGTTCTAGCCCTTGATACACCCGCACTTTGTGATCGTAATATCGGTGGTACTGATGCCCAGGGTCCAAGAAGGCAAATCTTTCATCACCTGAAAATAATATTTAGAATTATAAAGACAAAATATTTTCAATGCAAACAAAATTAAACTAGAATGCAAAAATACACTCTAACAAAACATCACCTCACCTTTATTGCGCACAACTGATTCAAAGTCCCTTCCATTTTTAATGACATAGCTAGCCATTTTATCAATGATCACTTGAATTTCTGAAGGTGGTGCTATTATGGTTGAAGGATCCAATGGGCTGTCATTTTGTCTGAAACAAAAACAGTTTTTCTAATAAAGACTTTGAAAATATACAATGCAGAAGGACAGTCATATTTTGATTGGATGTGGATCCTTACCCAGTTCCGTCTCCTGGGGATGAGGATCCTAAAACATGGAAATATTTTATTAGAATGTTTAAATTACAAAAAAAAAAAAAAAAAAAAAAAAAAAAAAAAACAACCCTAAACAAAAAATTTCTGATGTTCTGCTTGTGGGCAAGGAGTGCAAAGACTATATAAATTCTAACCTGAGGTGTCATCTGTCAGCTTGGCCTGCCTATCTTTGAATTTGTTGACCAGCATGGAATATGCACAATCTGCAGATGGTTTGTAGCTGATGCTGGGAATGCTGGGAGCCTGTAACAGAAGCCATAAATGAATGGCTGCACCTTTCTATGATTTTTAAACATCTTCTTTGTTTAGCTTAAACAAGTTATATAACATTGGAGGACGGCTTTTAAAATGAACACCCAGAGCACACACCTCATTTAAAATTTGTACAATAGTATTTCAAAAAATTCACTGCAGGCTTTAAATGCCTTTATAAGGATAAGATTAGATAATATTGAGAAATGTGACAAATTACCAAACAGTCAAACAATGTTGTCACAGTTCAAGCTCCCATAATGTGTCAAACAAACAAGCAATGTGGTGTGTGATAATGCTTCTCTAACGACAGCTGAAGCCTCTGTGGATACATTTCTTTTCACTATACATTGGGTGATACTTCACCAGGTCAGTACCAAAATCAATTGGAACCAAACATGGTTGCATTGAAATTTGTTATGGTGTACCTAGCGCCATCATAAATCAAACCATTTACACTATTTCTTGATGGATAAATGGTTTAATTTATGAAATCAGAACATGTGTTTACCCCTAAGCATTTAGCCACCAATTCTATAAGATCCAGCATATCTCCAATGAACTTGCTCTTTAGAGATGTCCTGAAATCAGAAATAAACAGTTGATTATCACCTTGAAATAATAGTACTTATTAAAATTAATTTAATCAAGAAAAAATTTATACATGTCATTATGCAGTAAAGATCAGCACCAGAAAAGTTAGTTGTGGGTAGCACAGTAGTTATCAATTGAAATATAGATAAAATCATTGACACATACTGCTAGAGAATAAAAAGACATGATACAAACCATAACTTTGAGACCAAATATTTGAAAATGATTTAGTATGAAATTGCTAGAATAGTTGCAGTACGTGCCAATAGAATACCAACCACACAATTTAAACAAAAAGTGCCACTTGCTGTAAGTAAATACTGAGAAGTTACGTCTGTTCTTTTGGGAAGAACAAGAATTGCAATCTAGCACTTTCTTTTCTTCACTAGAAGTCAACAGATAGTATTTCTTTCACTACTTGAGGATGAAACATCCAAATTGTAGAACAAGAGATACAGAAGCAGAACTGCTGATTAAAATTCAAGAGAAAGGCTAGTGACTAGTGTCATTGTATTGCAACACAAATTTTTGAGAAACAAGTTCAAAAATTTAAGTTGATTTTTAGCAAACGGTCCATGTAACATAAATACAGGTCAGAAACTTTCTGCAAATACTCACCTTCCGAATGGTCCTCATGATATGCATTTTGTAAGGTGCTAAATAAAAAAAATGGTAAAAGCTACACAATAAAACACCTGTCAACCAACTTCAAAATTGAGGATACATTTTGACTCGATTTTGGAACTGATATGGCATCCAATCAGATTTTGAGAATCAAGACTTTTTTCTTTTGTTCCCCTCAATGCTACAACGTCCACACTTCAAACCAGGACTTCTAGCCAATACTAATCATGCTTGCAAATGAGTAAAGTTCCTGTCTTCTTTTCATGATAAAGTAACAACACAAGTACACGTGAATTAAAGAAATATAAATTTTCTTCTATTGATAATGGAAATTAACAAGTTCAAAACAAATTTTTTTTTAAGAATTTCAAGCTTTTGGTTGGCAAATTAAGGCAAAACAAACATAAAAATGGTGCAAGCATGGTTAGCTTTCTGCGAGTTTCAACAACAGAGTTCCAAAACACTGGGCATCGAGAAAGAATGCTATTGGCTATTAAACCTACCAATTCAACAGGTTTTGGTGCAGTGGCAAGGCTTGGATGAAGGTAATGGTCAGAATTCTCTAAATCTGAAAACGAAAAAAAGGAAAGAGAGAACCAAGATCAGTCAGAAATCAAGGAAAGATGTACAGTATGACATTAATCAGAGGGGTATAATAACTAACCATTCTGTTCTTGCTGCTTCTTTTCTTGTCTGGTCCGGTATCTACCAGTTTTAATGGCCATCAGCAAGTGCCTATAATATGCGTGGAGAGGACAATCAAATGAGAGAAATGAGAACTGAGGGTTGTTTGCTTGTTTCATCTTAAGAATTATCTCCATCTGAGGGCCTTGAGTATTGATAAAGGAAGCTGTCTTCTCAATGATGGCATTGAGTTTAGTGCGTTCCGGCTGAAACAAGATGGAAAAACACATTGTAACAAACCAGCTAACTGAGTAATGGTGTTCATTGTAACCTCTAAAAGATTAAGAAAATCTCACCAAAACCATGCCGACTGGAATATCTAATTCCTGGGGAGGGATGAACGGTTCATCCTCCTCCTCAGCAGCTTCATCATTAGGCTCTTTGTTTGAGGGCGCAGCAGATTCGTCTTGCTCTGTCTCATTATCGTAACTGAATGGAACTTGACCATATGAGTTCTGGGGATCTAAGGCTTTGTGCAGTCTCTTCAACTCTTCCTCTACAAAAATAAGAAATTCCAGGTTTAAAAAAGAAGGTAAATTGAAAAAAGAAAATCTTTGTTTCTATGACAGTACTTACCTTGGTACATGGCTTCTTCCGCCTCATTGTGGTACAGTGCTCGGTAACGTTCTTCATCACAAAGTTGCTCGACCTTCCTTTCAGCATCTGAAAGGGTCGACCACAATGCGTCTGAAGCGCCACCGCCAAGAGGTTCTAGAGGACGGAGATCGTACACGGTGCCTCTAACGTCGTATCTGGCAAACATGAAAAGAGGAAGAATGTGAAAATAGTCTAAGACAAGCATAACATAGGTGCTGCCTAGTGTCAAGAGCAAGAGAGGCCCCTCCCTTCCGTCGTCTCTAAATCGGTTGAAAATTTAACTAAACGTAAGGAAAATGAAAAGGCAGGAGTAGGATTCCCTCACGTTCAAATACAAGCACAGCAGTCAGATTTATTTAATACGTGGGTGAGTGATCGATTGAGGTTACCTGTCTATTTTGAGGGTGTCATCACCCATCCAAGGGATCAGGTGTTTGCCTTGGTCGATGTATAATGCCTTTTCATCATCCCTAAATAATTTACACGAATATCCAAACACAAGCAATTCTTCTGTCTCATCTTTTTTCCTAATTGCGGAAGGATCGAAGCGCTGTGGCCTCGCCGACGCCATGATGCTTTTTTAACTTGCCAAAAATAACAATAACAAAAACAAACAACAACAGTGAGCAGGCCCATTCTGTTACCAACACCCAAACGTTTAAGTCAACATTTCGCGGCACTTGAATGGCAGTGCGTAGCCTGACACGAGCAAGAATGATAAATGGCAGCGAATTAAATGTCGTTAAGGTTATTTTCCGTGGCGCAATCGAAGCCAAGGTTTCAAGTCAGGAGCCCGACCCCACTTAAATGATTTGTTTATTGGTAGCAATCGGATGTCTCTGGGAGCGCGCGCGCGCGTTCGGCGGCGTCCTTTCAAACGGAGGCGCGTCGTGGACGCCGTTGTGAACGTGGACATGGATATTGTGGACGACGTGGACGGGACACCTCGCCAACCAGTGAAAAGTAAAGCAAGTAAGTGTGAGGCTGGTCCACCCATCCGGCACCGCAAAAGGGAAGGACCACCTGTGCCCACCTGAGGACAAGTAGGCGCCCGCGAAGTGCGCGCGGATTTGCGGATTCCGAGAGTCGGTTTCGTCGCTCGGTCCGTCTCCCACTCATGCGGCGTCCCGTAACGGAGCGAGAGAGACAGAGTGACTTTGGGCCACCCCTCGCGTCATGAGAAACGCGTGGAAAGATAACGACAAGCGGGACTGGACTGCCTCCTGTCGACGCCCTCAAGTTCGCTCTGCTTCCTCGTGCAGGCGGAGTGCCAAGAGCAGACAGATTCCGAGAGTCGTTTTTCGTCGCTCCGTCTCTCTCACACCCATACGGGATGCCCATCGGTCTGCCGCGCCGACGAGCGCGCTCGCAAACCGGTGCAGGGTGCGATCCTGACCTACATTGCAGTGCGCTGGCGCTGTTGTGGCCGGTATCTGGTTGGGGTTGGAGCGGGGCCAGGCAAAGGCCGGGTCCGCCCTCGCCTTTGCACTCTTTTGCACCCTTGGCGGCGACTTACGCAACGCCGCGGCGCCACGCGCCGACCGCGTGTCAGATGGCGGCTCTGCAGCCAGCGGACTCCGGGCACGCCGAGCTACCGTTCGCGGAGCTGGAGGAGGTATACGTACTGCGACTCGGACTGCTCGGTGGCCTCGACGGTCTCGTCTCGCTCGGCCGCGCAGAGCTCTGCCTGGCGTTGCTCTGCCACACCGCACAGTGGGCCAGACGACCGGTGGAGGCGGCCAAAATTCTAGACGCGTTTTGGAGCTCCAAGAGTAGCTAACCAGGACTCGAACCGAACGCGTGACCCCACCAATGGATTGCTCTCCGAACGGGGTGTGCCGTGGCGCACAGTGGACCAGAAGACCGGTGGAGGCATCCAAAGCTCCAAACGCGTTTTGATCTCCATAGTCAGTGAATGGGACTCGAACCAAACGTGTGACCCCACCAATGGATTGCTCTCCGAACGAGGAATCCATTGGTGGGGTCACACGTTCGGTTCGAGTCCCATTTACTGACTCTGGAGATCAAAACGCGTCTAGAGCTTTGGACGCTCTATCGGTCTTCTGGTCCACTGTGCGCCGCGGCGCCGCAAAGCAGAGCAAGCAGAGCCTCCCTCCCCGACAGTCCCCGAGTGGACCGCGGCGCCGCGGCACTGCGATTTGAGTGTGACGGCGCGGTGACCGGCCGTGGCCGCCGTGGTGGACGAGGCGCCGTCACGCCGCCGTGTCACGGCGTGTCACGGCGTGTCACGCCTTGCTAGGGGCTGGCGGCTGGCGTGGCGTGGAGGGGGGCGCGGCAGTGTGGCGGTGCGGCGGCAGACGGGGCGCAACGCTCAACGCCCATGCCGCCATTCCCCCATTCAGGCATGCAGGACGTCGCCGCCGGGATTTGCCGACAAGTTTAGTTATTGACGGGTTCGCTCGGGTAGCACTCGACCGCCGCGCTCCCAGCCACGCCGCGCTGCCGCGAGCACGGGTCCTTTTGCCGACGGCGACCTCCACGACGACGACGACGACGACGACGACGACGACGACGACGACGACGACGCTCCCATGGGCTGCAGCAAGGGAGGCACGCGGGAGACCCGCGTGGGAGGTAAGGGGGCGGGCACGTCCTGCAGACTGGCTCCGAGAGTCGTTTTCGTCGCTCTGTCTCCCTCGCACCTGTACGGGCCGCCACGAGTGCGAGGGATACACAGCGACGTAAAAGGCTTAAAGTTTTCGGAAAAGTTGGTTTGATTTTCACGAGAACTGCTTTTGCCACCCCTGGTGCCTAGGGCCTGGAGGGACGCTGCAGGCCGTAGTACAAAGGGCAGAACACTAATTTGCACGAAACTCGAACACTGATGCACCGATCGTCGCGAAACTTCGACCCTCAACGCACGGACCGATACCATACCGCACTCGGAGAACCAACTTTGTACCACCAAAAACCAAGGACGAACACGGCCCATCCGGGAAGCAGCGTGCACGGCTCCTATGACTCTAGGCGCGGAAAACTTGTGGGAATGGTCCATTCAGCATCCAGCCCCCCGGAACGTGGAAACCTTAGTGTCGCGGACTACTGGTACTGGGCCGCTCTGCTCTGGATGGCGGAATTCCCCCCGACCTGCACGGAACGAGCTGTATACCGAAGAATGAGAGTCGTTTTCATCGCTCTGTCTCTCTCGCACTCACGGGGCGTCCCGTATAGGTGCGAGCGAGTGCGAGGGAGACAGAGCGACTCTCGGAATCGGTCTGCTGACCCGCTTCGCTCTTCCTCTGGCTGCCTCTGGCGGCATTGTGTAGTGCAAGTGCATCGAGATAGTAGTTCAAAATAATAGTTCAAGTTTGAGTGGCCGACTAGGCCGAGTAGGCCGGCGAGGCGAGGCCAGGCCATAACAACATCTCTTCTCCGGCGATAAAGACAATCGCTGTGCAGATTGATCCCATTATTGGCGGCCAGTGCGGCTAGATTCCCACGCGGGGCAGCCGCTACACTCGTCACATTCCTGGCAAGGCTGGGCAAGGCGACGCACAGTGAGCCAGAAGGCCGGCGGAGCGGCCGAAATTCTAGACGCGTTTTGAGCTCCAGAGTCGCCAAATGGGACTCGAACCGAACGTGTGACCCCACCAATGGATTGCTCTCCGAACGAGGAATCCATTGGTGGGGTCACACATTCGGTTCGAGTCCCATTTAGCGACTCTGGAGCTCAAAACGCGTCTCGAATTTTGGCCGCTCCACCGGTTTTCTGGCCCACTGTGCGACGTGCGCCGCGGAGGTCGATAGCTGCGGCGGAAAGGACGGACTTACGGTGGACAGACGGATGGGCGACCCGGACGGAGTGACCCGCTACGAAATACAGGTGTCTGTCTCTCGTAAACAGCGACCGGTACAAGCGAGGGGGCCACCACCCGCACAAATTGGCTGGTGATCTCCGATAATCCATGCCGTAATCACGTGATCCTTCAGAAATTCTGTCTATTTTCAACGTTTTTGAGTCATTTTTCAACGTTTTAGAGCCATTTTTCAACGTTTTTGAACCAATTCTACAAAATTTCACGCTTAATCCCCAGTAAATTTACCGTAATACCGTAATCTTGTGTACACCTGAAATGCGAGTGGTGCTCAGAGTGGTGGCCCTCTCGCGTACAAGCTTCAAACATACCAAAACATGGTGCACGGGCACAGAAATTTCAAAGTACGCCACTCGGTGCACGGCGCCCCGAACATCGTACCGGTTGTTCGGTAGCAACACCTCCGGGTTACTTTTCTCATATCCGCCAAGACGGCTGGACGGACGCGAGCGGGACGCAGTAAAGTCAGCAGGTCATTGATTCAGAAGACGGTCACGTGACGGAATGGACTGGCATGGAGCCGGCCACCCGGTCGGCCGGTCGGCCGGTTGGCGACTTGCTACTTGTCGTCGCCGTGTAGGTCAAGGGCGTCTGCGAGGGTCCGCGCGAGGCGCCCAGCGAGGCGCCAAGAGACACGGAGTTATTGAATCGCCTAATGGCTCGGCAATGGACGCGACGCGATCAGCGAAAGTAAGAGTGATTGAAAAAACGGGGCGGTGTTTTCCTGTCTTTGCGATGCGTCCTTGTACACCTTATTCCGCGGGCGGCCGGCCGAGCGCGCGGGTAATCGAAGCGACATTTTGACCCCGGCGCGTCGCGAGGAAATGAAATGCGCTCGCGCGAGGATGACGTCAAAAGAAAATCTCATCCATTATTTTGAGTTTTTGTTGATTGATGTTTCTGTTGTTGTTGTTGTTGTTCACAGTGGACGTCCGCGAGGTGGAGGCTGCGACGCGCACCCCGGGGAGGGGTCCCGGTGGTTCCGGTGCCGACGGCCCCCCAAGACTCCGGACGCGCGCCGCGTTCTGGGTGCTCGGCCTGTGCAACAACTACGGCTACGTGGTCATGATCTCGGCCGCCTACGACATCCTGCACAAGAACTTCCTGGCCGAGGTACAGCACTTTTCAGATCACGGCCGCCTTCGCGGCGCGCGGCACGCGGCACGCGTTCGGTCGCGTGTGAACGCGCCGCGCTCGCAAACCGGATCGCTGCAACATTCAAATTCCAAGTCAAGTCTGTCGAGGCCAGTTTTATTTCCCTTTCGTTGGCAACACTGTCGCGGCATCGCTCATTGCATTCTGCTTTCCGCGTTTGGCGTGCCCGCAGGCGAGGCCGATGCCGGGTCCGCGGCAGTGCAACTACCTGTCCACGGGGGCCATCCTGCTCGCCGACATCCTGCCCAGCCTCGTCATCAAGTTCCTCTCGCCCTTCCTGCCGCTCTGGATAAAGTAAGCGGGGACACTGGGAAAACGACTGTGGCGGCGGCGGGAATCGATCCCGGGCCACGGTCGTTCGGCGCGTGCGACGGCGATGGAGCGTCGCATCCACGGAAGCGGCCGGCACCAGGAAGCTCTTCTCGGCCTCCATGCCGCGGCCATCGGTCGGCCACTTTGTTGGCGCGGCCGCGGAAACTACTTGGAGCGGCGGTCGCTGCAGCGACAGCTCAATTCGCGATCACGCGATCCCGAAAAAAGGCTGCCCTTGGCGGGAATCGAACAAAGGACAGCGATCCCGCTGGACAGAGCGGTCAGAGTCACCGTGATGGCCGGGGCGGGCGTGACTGACAGCTGATGCAAATCGCAGTGCCGTGCCGTGCTGCTTTCCCCCGAGCAGAGCAAGTGAAGCCACCGCGTTGGTTGGGTTGCCGACCGTCCGGCGGCGGGGACTCGCGCAGTTCGTCGACGCGCCCCACTGCCGGCGAGGCTCTGGCGCCCGGCGAGTTGGCAACCCAACGCGCACCGCTCTGGGACTGCAGTCTGCAGGGTGGTCTTCTCCATGTCCGCAGCCTCCGCATGTCCGTCGTCGTGGTGAACAACGTGCTGGGCTTCCTGCTGGTGGCCTTCGCGTCCGAGCTGTGGGTGGCGCTGGCCGGCGTGGCCGCCATGTCGCTGGCGCAGGGCCTCGGCGAGGCGTCGCTGCTCGCCTACACCGCCTTCTTCAAGGACAAGTGCGTGGCCCGCGTGGAAGACGTGTCTTTGGTGACGTTGGAACCGTGGCAGTGGTGCACTCACTCATCCCCGTCGTCTGATTCAGGAGCGTGGTCACCATGTGGTCGTCGGGGACGGGCGCGGCCGGCGTGCTGGGCGCCGTGTCGTACCTGGGGCTCACCACGCTGCTCTCGCCCAGGGACGCGCTGCTCATCATGAACGTGGTCCCCGCCGCCGTGGCGCTGGCGTGAGTACCCGGCGCGATCCGCCCCTCCCCCACCGCACAGTGGGCCAGAAGACCGGTGCAGGCGGCCAAAACTCTAGCCGCGTTTTGAGCTCCAGAGTCGCTAAAAGGGACTCGAACCGAACATGTGACCCCACCAATGGATTGCTCTCCGGACGAGGAATCCATTGGTGGGGTCACATGTTCGGTTCGAGTACCATTTAGCGACTCTGGAGCTCAAAACGCGTCTGGAGTTTTGGCCGCCTCCGCCGGTCCTCTGGCCCACTGTGCACCGCCATCACTGACGGCGAGGTGCTCGGTCGGCAGGTTCTGGGTGCTGCTGGTGCGGCCGCGCATCGACGTCAAGGAGGACAAGGCCGTGAAGCAGCCCGACAAGGTGCGCGACGGCGTGCCCATGTTCTCGTCCACCGCGTCCTTCGTGGACAAGCTGGGCGACATCCCGCCGCTCTTCAAGTACATCTTCCCTCTGTTCGCCGTCTACTTGTTCGAGTACTTCATCAACCAGGGGCTGGTAAGGCTGCGCGGAGGGCTGCACAGAAGTCGATTGTCGGTAGCGTTGCCCTAACTTGCTTGGCGCTTGCTTGCAGTACGAGCTGATCCGGTACGAGTCCGAGTGGCTGACGCAGGCCCAGCAGTACAAGATGTTCCAGGCGCTCTACCAGATCGGCGTCTTCGTCTCGCGAACCTCCGGTGGCTACGTGCCTATGGAGAGGACGTGGATCCTGGCCGTCCTGCAGGTTTGTCCATAAAACAAACTCGGGAACGGCGTACAATGCTGCAGGGGAAAATAACTCTGACTGCTTGTTTTGCTCCAGGGCCTGAACGTGGTGTACTTCACCCTGGAGGCCGTGTACAGGATGTCGGGGTCGGTGTGGGTCGTGGCGGTGCTGGTGGTGTGGGAGGGCCTGCTCGGCGGCGCGGCCTACGTCAGGACCTTCTTCTGCATCTCCACCAAGGTGGTGCCGGAGAAGCGGGAGTTCTCCATGGCCATGTCCTCGGTGGCCGACGCCCTGGGCATCTTCACGGCGGGATTGGTGGCCATCCCCGCACACAACCTGCTCTGCCAGCTGCCCGCGCCCTCGTGACACCGCGTGTCTACCCCCAACGACGCCCCTGAAGGCTGTCGCAAGCCCGCGGCAACCGTCGAAGACCTTCAAAAGCCGTCGACGAGCGTCAGGTCAGAAGGCCTCGAAAACACTCAAAGGCCGTCGGAAGCCAGCCAACGGCCGTGCAGTTGCGAGGCGCTAGTGAGTAGAAGTCGCCTCGAGAGAGGCAAAAGTGAGAAACAGACACCTGTGTCCTTCTAGTTTGCTGCCAAGAAGGCGTCCAGAACAGGGGGCCTCGGAAAAGTACACAAACAAGTAGTAGACTGTTCTTAGCACGTGTTGCCAAGTGAGTGTGCGAAAATCACCTCACGGTAAAAACGGTATCTGGTTTTCCCAGGAGCCCTATGGCGAAGACATAGGCGATTTCCAGAGGGTTCCTGGGAGAACCAGGAACCGTTTTTACCGTGCTCTGTGCAGCAGTGTAGAAAGGGTTGCCGACCTCAGACCGTCCACGAGGCACTGCTTTTGACACGTTTGGCTCTTAAGCTGGTTGTTGTCAGCTATTCTTTCCACACTGGTGCGCCGCAAGAGTGTTAACGTATTTTGGCAACACTGCAGACAGAATAGACAATCTTTTGTCAGATCGCAAGGCTGTGAAATGTGCCCTTAGAATGTATAAGGAAAATAGGAATAGCTTCCCGGGTAGAGTACTAAGTTTGTCGTGTGATCGCCATACTTTAGCGAGCAATGTTTAATTACCATGTATGAATATTCATTATTTATTTGTGTGAGTGAAATAAACACTTTATCACTCGACATGATTGGAGCGGTCTTAAAGAACACGTGAGGTGGATGGTGTAACGCTTTTTATTGGGCGATTTGTTGCGATTAGCAGCGAGTGAAGTAGGGCTTGTCCACGAAGTACACGTGCATGCCGAATTGACCGTACGATTTGATCCACTTGGTCAAGCACTCGGGGGAGTTGGGCTTGATTATCTGCAAGAAAACATCCAAGTTAGAGACTGCCGGTCCTGTTGGACAACCCTTTGGGGTGGGCATGCTTGGGTTTAGTTTGGACCAGGTTAGGTTAGGATTGTCACGCACCTTGGAGACGAGCGCTGGGGGATTCTCGAACCAGCCGCGGCCCTGGCTGACCTTGCCGTACTGCACGAAGCCGAAGCCCTGGAGCTGCTTGGTCTTGGGTCCGAACAGCAGGAAGTATGGGCGGTGGGCCTCGCAGGTGCCGTCCTTCTTGAGGTTCTGGTAGTAGTGCTTGCCTGCACAAAAGAGGTTCGCATCAGACTTCGTCAGCGTCCATCTTGGCCTCAGTGCACCAAGTACCTCCAAGCTTGGCGTCAGCGACACGTCACGTACCCATGCCGAAAAAGCAGGCCTGTTCGTAAAAGCCGGCGGCCTCGGCTTCGGACTGGGCGGTGGCGACGTGCAGCAGACCAGTCTCGACGCCCTCCTCGTTAGTCTGGAGGATGTACAGGCCGTTGGGGGCGGTGTGGGTGTCCTCGGAGAGGCTGCGGCCACCGGATTGGAGCTCCTCTGAGGGCACACGCGAGTAGTTAGGAGTTGCAGTCGGCGAACAGTTTGTGACAACTCCAACTTGTTGCTTACGGACTTCTACTCACCGCGGGACTGGAAGTAGGCGACGGTGGAGTAGACGTCCTCGCCGAGGAGGGTCTGGCGGCGCCACTCGGGGATGGCGAGGATGTCCAGGGGGGCGTTTTTCGCTGTGTCGATCTCGCTCACTCTAACCTGCACAGCACATTTCCAGGTCAGACCCTCGAGTAACCTCACTGCTGGGTCTTCCCTCACGTTGGCCACTCACGGAAATCTGGATTCCGGCGACGCTGCCCTGCTTGTCGAAGTAGACGCACACCCGGAAGTCGTTCTTGCGGCACCACAGGGTGGTGCTGTCGACGTCGTTGGCGGACACCTGGGTGAAGTGGTCGTTCTCGGCCTCCTTGATGGTGCGGGGCATGTTGTAGAAGTTGAAGGAGTGCGTGGGGTCGGGCACGATGCTGTAGGTGACGATGAACTTGTTGGGCGTGGTTCCGGCGTCGAGCACTGGTATCACAGACGGGACAAAGTATACTTTTACTTCGAACTCTTGTAATAGAAATGGCATCGATATTAGCTACATTGCGTCACCCCTTAATTTTTGCGATGAAAGAGCCTTTTTACTGTTGTTTCATTGTAAAGTTTTGCCACAAAAATCTCATTCAACGAACGCTAATGAAAGCAGAATACTCGTTTGGTTTTCTTCTCCGGGGTAGTATGGGCTTATTCCAAAGATAGTGTTTAAAAACTGAGTCCTTTGTGCCGTGGCCTGCACCGCCACGCCGTGCCCGTTGGATTGGGAGCACCCGGTGCCTCTGCGCTGTAGCGGGAAAGGATTGTTAAATTCCACGGAGGCTGCGGCGCGGCCACAGACGCACCAGCCCGCCCAGCCAAGCCAGCCCCTATTATATTGTTAGGATACGCACTTGGTTTTTGGACTCTCGAGTAAAAGCTAGCTGACACCTTTATGTGTCTTGTAAAGTATGTTTTAAGTAAAGGTATCATCTGCTAAAAATCTTATTTCTTTTGCTTTTCTAGGCTTCATTGCAAAACGTTGTAATGTAACGACTTTGTATCCTAAATATGGAGAATGGGGTGACATTGAAATGAAACGTCGATCGTCTTTTTCCGTCACGCACTGCCCTATCACTACAACAGCACAGCCGCAGTCGGACTTACAGCCTGCCTGGGCGCTGCCGGCCAGGGCGACGGCCGCGGCCGCGGCGATCAGGATGCGGAGCATGTTGTTGGTGCGGAGTGGACCGTCGAACAGGCACCGACCGGCAGGACGTGAGCCGGGGCCTCCGCGGCCCGCGTTAAAACGGTGCTGGGTTGACCGATACATTGACACAGCTGGCCGGGACATCACTCTGCAAACTGAAATGTGTGCATGACACGGCGCTCTATTTGCAGCATGCCAAGAAGCACGCTTTAAATTGGAGCGTGCCTGGCAGGCACGCTTTAAATTGGAGCGTGCTTGGAAGGCAGGCACGCTTTACATTGGAGTGTGCTTACCAGGTACGCTCTAAATTTAAGCGTGCCTGCAGACTGTTAAAAAAATTTAATTACATTTTCATTACATGGTAGTGAAGCTGTCACTGTAAAAAACGTTCGGAATTTTACCATTCAGTGGTCTAGGAAAATTCCTATAATTACATGTATAGGAATTACTGAAATTCCAATAGATGTAATATTCCGATTTGTATAGGTTTTTTGCTCTACGGGTTGAAAATGTATAGGAATATTCCTATACATGCAGGCTCGGACTGCCCAGGGCAGACAGGCAGAAAAATCTGCCGGGGCCTTTGGATTTGTGACCAGTAACGTCACGAAGTTGGTCAAAAAGTGATTGAATCTCCGAAAGTAGCCGTTTTCGCTGAATTTGAGCGGCCACTGCTTCGATCTAGTAGCGGCCAACGGCCTCCCTCGACGTCCTAGTATTCTTAAGACCCTACTCTTTCATGCCCTGTATCGGGAAGACGTTGACCACAACGATTTTGTCTTTGACCGCAACGATTTAGGGACCAAAGTTGGTCAAAAAGTGGTCGAATCTCGGAAATTTGCTGATTTTGCTGACTTTGGGCGGCCACTGTGTCCAATCTAGTTGCCGTAAAAGGCCTTCCTCAACGTCCTAGTATTCTCAAGACCCTACTCTTTCATGCCCTGTATAGGGAAGACGTTGACCACAACGATTTTGCCTTTGACCGCAACGATTTTGGGACCAAAGTTGGTCAAAAAGTGGTCGAATCTCGGAAATTTGCTGATTTTGCTGACTTTGGACGGCCACTGTGTCCAATCTAGTTGCCGTAAAAGGCCTCCCTCAACGTCCTAGTATTCTCAAGACCCTACTCTTTCATGCCCTGTATAGGGAAGACGTTGACCACAACGATTTTGCCTTTGACCGCAATGATTTTCCGACCAAGTTGGTCAAAAAGTAGTCGAATATCGGAAATTTGCTGATTTTGCTGACTTTGGACGGCCACTGTGTCCAATCTAGTTGCCGTAAAAGGCCTCCCTCGACGCCCTAGAATTCTTAAGACCCTAGTCTTTCATGTCCTGTACGGGAAGGCTATTGACCGCAACTTGTGTGGGAGCGGCAGCCTCACAAAGTTGGTCATGAAGGGTAAAAACAATGATGATCGGGGGCCTTTTGCGGTCTTATCTGCCGGGGCCTTTTGGGGGCCAACTGGCCAACTGAAAAATGAATCTGCCATCAACCTTATTAACTAACAGCGATTCATTGTTGTATTTTCTTAAAACACTTGTATTGAATACGATTATTTGTCAACAACGTTCAAAGTCACAAAAGCTGCTTGTTTGCCCGCTGTCCGGATTATCCGCTAGATGGCGCTAGTGTCGTTTTGACCGACTTACTTCTCGGTGTACGCTGCGGCTAGGAATTTGGTTGGGTCAGGGGGCTCGCGTCCTATTTCATTGTTAGAAAGTTGAAGGTATTTTCAACTCTTACATCATTTTTACTCAGGTGTTATTTCACTTTGGGTGTTCAAGTAGTGGAGTCGGACTTTGCCAATGTGGAAGACGGGGGTGAAGAATCACTAAAGATCCATACTCGAGGCGGAAAATGCAGCCGTTTGAATATTGCCATTGAATATCTGACAGTGCATCCGCTTCGGCCTGCCCAATTTACACATTTTGGTGGAAATCCTATGCATGCATTGCAGTTGCGCCATTCCGATGTATAGGAAAAATCCTACACAAGGGATGGGAGAATGCCGTACCGATGTGTAGGAAAATTGCCATACGAGTGCATGGTTCATACGTGTATATGAAAATAACTTCATATACATGTATAGGAATTTGACTATATATTTTTTAACAGTGTATGAGCCACCTGGCATGTACTTGTCAAGTACACGCCAACCTGGAGTGTACATGCCAAGTACACTCCAGGTTGAAGTGTGCATGCTAAGTACACTCCAGGTTGAAATGTACATGCATGACACTCCAGGTGGAGTGTACGATGTACACACTTGAGTTTGTAGAGCAGGAAAGGTGGTGCCGGAGAAGCGGGAGTTCTCCATGGCCATGTCCTCGGTGGCCGACGCCCTGGGCATCTTCACGGCGGGATTGGTGGCCATCCCCGCACACAACCTGCTCTGCCAGCTGCCCGCGCCCTCGTGACACCGCGTGTCTACCCCCAACGACGCCCCTGAAGGCTGTCGCAAGCCCGCGGCAACCGTCGAAGACCTTCAAAAGCCGTCGACGACCGTCAGAAGACCTCGAAAACACTCGAAGGCCGTCGGAAGCCAGCAAACGGCCGTGCCGTTGCGAGGCGCTAGTGAGTTGAAGTCACCTCGAGAGAGGCAAAAGTGAGAAACAGACACCTGTGTGCTTCTAGTTTGCTGTCAAGAAGGCGTCCGGAACATGTGGCCTCGGCAAAGTACACAATCAAGTTGACTGGTAGCCTGTTCATAGCACGTGTTGCCACGTGAGTGTGCGAAAATTACCACTGTGCATCAGTGTAAGTGTAGAAAGGGTTGCCGACCTCAAACCGTCCACGAGGCACTGCTTTCGAGAAGTTGCCTCCTAGGCAGGTTAGTCAGCAACCTGTTCCACACTGGTGCACCGCAAGAATGTTTACCTATTTTGGCATCACTGCAGGACAGAATAGACAAATCTTTTGTCAGATCGCAAGGCTGTGAAATTTGCCCTTAGAATGTAAGGAGTATAGGAATAGCTTCCCGAGAAGAGTAATCAGTTTGTCGAGTGATCGCCATACTTTAGCGCGCAATATTTAATTACCATGTATGTATATTCATTATTTATTTGTGTGAGTGAAATAAACACTTTATACACTCGACATGATGGGAGGTCATAAAGAACACGTGAGGTGGGTGGTTTAACACTATTTATTATTTGTTGCGATTAGCAGCGGGTGTAGTAGGGCTTGTCCACGAAGAAGACGTGCATGGTGAACAGACCGTACGAGTTGATCCACTTGGTCATGCACTCAGGGGAGTTGGGGGCGATTTTCTGCAAGAAAACATCAAGTCAGAAACTAACAGTCCTCTTGGACAAACCCTTTGGGGTGGGCATGCTTGGGTTCAGTTTGGACCAGGTTAGGTTATGTTAGGTTAGGATTGTCACGCACCTTGGCGACGAGCGCTGGGGGAGTCTCGAACCAGCCGCGGCCCTGGCTGACCTTGCCGTACTGCACGAAGCCGAAGCCCTGGAGCTGCTTGGTCTTGGGTCCGAACAGCAGGAAGTAGGGGCGGTGGGCGTCGCAGGTGCCGTCCTTCTTGAGGTTCTGGAAGTAGTGCTTGCCTGCGAACAAGAGGAGGTCGTCAGACTGGGCCTCAGTGCTGCCAGTACCGCCGAGCTTGGCGTCAGCGACATTGAAATCACGTACCCATGCCGAAGAAGCAGGCCTGTTCGTTGAAGCCGGAGGCCTCGGCCGCGGACTCGGAGGTGGCGACGTGCAGCAGACCGGTCTCAACGCCCTCCTTGTCGGTCTGGAGGAGGTACAGGCCGTTGGGGGCGGTGTGGGTGTCCGCGGACAGGGTACGGCCGCCGGCCACGAGCTCCTCTGTGGGCAGACGCGAGTAGTTGCAGTCGGCGAACAGTTTGCGACAACTTGTTGCTAACGGGTTGTGGCTTACCGCGGGACAGGAAGTAGGCGACGGTGGAGTAGACGTCCTCGCCGAGGAGGGTCTGGCGGCGCCACTCAGGGATGGCGAGGATGTCCAGGGGAGCGTTTTTGCCGTTGTCGATCTCGCTCACTCTAGCCTGCACAGCACATTTCCAAATCAGACTCTTGATTGACGTCACTGTTGGGAATTCCCGCGCGGTGGCCACTTACGGAAAGCTGGATACCGGCGACGCTGCCCTGCTTGTCGAAGTAGACGCAAACCCTGAAGTCGTTCTTGCGGCACCACAGGGTGGTGCTGTCGACGTCGTTGGCGGACACCTGGGTGAAGTGGTCGTTCTCGGCCTCCTTGATGGTGCGGGGCATGTTGTAGAAGCTGAAGGAGTGCGTCAGGTCGGGCACGATGCTGTAGGTGACGATGAACTTGTTGGGCGTGGTTCCGGCGTCGAGCCCTATTGCAGACGTGACAAATACTTTTACTACTAACTCTTACAATAGAAACGTGCTTTGCTTTTAGCTACATTGCGTCGCCCCTTAAGTTTTTCACTCCAAAATTTTGCCACAAAAAAAAATCAAATTGCATTTGCTTGTATAGGCTCCATTGCAAAATGTTGTAAAGTAACAACTTTGTATCTTAAATATGGACAACGGGTCGTGACATTGAAACGAAACGTCGTCTTTCTCCGTCACGCACTGCCCTATCACTACAACGGCACAGCCGCAGTCGGACTTACAGCCTGCCTGGGCGCTGCCGGCCAGGGCGACGGCCGCGGCCGCGACGATAAGGATGCGGAGCATGTTGTCGGCGTGGAGTGGAGCCTCGAACAGACACCGCACGCCGCGGCCAACCCTTTTTAAGCAGCGCGCCGGCTTGGGCGGGCATTTGCCGAACTGCGCACTGGGTTGACTCAGCTGGCCGGGTCGTCACGCCACACGGTTACTCCTTACAGATACCACGTGTCCGGCTTTTAATGGGGGTGATTTCACCCGGGATCACAAATCATCCGTACCTGACGGTTAATGTTGAGGGCATGTGTTAAGTGGGGTCTCTGGTGTAAAAAATATCCAAAATTAACAAAGAAAGTTTTATCAATTGTCAAAGCCTTATATGAGCATGGAGGTTTCAGCTACATCGGTTTCAGCATTACAAAGTGGATAAATTTATTAATCATTCAGAAATAAATTACTTAAAGGCCACTTGTGTCCAAGGGGTCGACAATTCATATAGTGCCTTGTACGCGGTCGTTATATTACCTGAAAATTACCATATATTACTTGTCTATTATCACAATGTCGCCTACCTCTATATTACCTTTATTACGTATACTCCCTCGTACACGAGTAAGGGAAGTTGTCGGCCCCTCGGTTGTGTCATTGTGACATCACTTCATCGCCGTATATAGACGACAAAAATTTTGTCGCGGAAATAAGTAAGGGTGTATCGGCCTCGGCCCCCAACTGGATTCACCTTTCATCAACAGAAACTACTTGGTCGCCCAACCTTCAGTAAGTCTTTGATTCCTTTATTAACCCCCCTAAAAAATATCCTAAGAGTCAGTGTTAAGGTCGCATGGGAAGCAGTGCTCAGCCGATCGACACTCCCAACTACACCGGGGGTCACTGGTGGGTGTGAGCGTCCCCAAAGGACAAAGCAGAAGGTAAAGCTGATTACAATACTGAGTATTGAATAATAAGCACTCCTATGTGCTGCACGAGGTGCAGCGCACGACAAAAGAAATAATCAAAATTAGAGTCTTTGAAGAAAAAACTTCAGAACGAAGTGGCACGTCTGGAGGAGAAAGCGGCTTTGATGCATGAAGAGAGTAGTATTGTTCATTATATAGCGATTCGAGCTCTGCCGCAGCAAAGTGGTAGCACGGCGAGCAGGATTCGTAGTTCGGAGCAATATACTCAACCATGAAAATGGTGTATGGAGGGACTTGGTCTATTTGGGCCATAAGTAATGGTTTGCTTGGAAGACAAGTTGATTTTTGCAGGCCGGCAAATGACCCTGCTAATGGGAGGTGCTGGTGAGTGGAGGTCGACTCGAGAGTGGCAAAAGTGGAAAACAGACACGTGTGCTTCTAGTTTGCTGCCAATAAGACGCCTAGAACAGGTGGCTGTCGAAAGAGTACACAAGCAAGTGTAGTGGTAGCCTGTTCTACAGAAGATGTTTGCTTACTAGTGTCGCAGCACTGCAGGACAAAAGAGACAACCTTTTGCCAGATTGCAAGGCTGTGAAACCTGCGCCCTTACAATGGGGATGGTTTCACAAGTGGCAGTATACGAAGTTTGGCGCGTAAATGCCATACTTTTCTGCGCAAAATTTAATCACCTCGTGTGTAGATGGATTATTTATTTACTTTTGTGAGTGGAATGAACACGTGCCTCATAGACGCGGCATGTTGGGAGGTCACTAAGACTACCTGAGTGAGGTAGCTGGTCGACTCTACTTATTACGCGTTGCGCTGTGCTCAGAATGGTGTAGTAGCAAGTGCTGTAATGTGGCTATGGGATCAGGAAAAATAAGCACCTTGGTCCGAAGTACGGAGATTCAAATGGATGTATTCAAGGTCAACTCCGTAACGTCACGTTACACATTCAGATTTTCATAACCATGCAGGAATCATGCAGAGTATACATCATCTGAGGCTCGGATTTAAGAAATTAAAAGAGGCTCTTTGTGCAACAGGTGGTGTAGTAGGGCTTGTCCACGAAGAAGACGTGCATGGTGAACAGACCGTACGAGTTGATCCACTTGGTCATGCAGTCGGGGGAGTTGGGAGCGATTTTCTGCAATGAAACATCAAGTTAGAGACTGCCAGTCCTTTGAGGTGAGAATTTGGTTTGGTAAGTATGGCCTGGTTAGGCCCAGTTGGGCCAGCCAGGCCTAGTTAGGTCAGGTAAGGATTGTCACGCACCTTGGCGACGAGCGCTGGGGGAGTCTCGAACCAGCCGCGGCCCTGGCTGACCTTGCCGTACTGCACGAAGCCGAAGCCCTGGAGCTGCTTGGTCTTGGGTCCGAACAGCAGGAAGTATGGGCGGTGGGCCTCGCAGGTGCCGTCCTTCTTGAGGTTCTGGAAGTAGTGCTTGCCTGCGCACAAAAGGTTCGCATCAGACTTTCGTCAACGCCCATCTCAGCGCACGAAGTACCTCCAAGCCTGGCGTCAGCGACACGTCACGTACCCATGCCCAAGAAGCAGGCCTGTTCGTTGAAGCCGGCGGCCTCGGCTTCGGACTGGGCGGTGGCGACGTGCAGCAGACCAGTCTCGACGCCCTCCTCGTTAGTCTGGAGGAGGTACAGGCCGTTGGGGGCGGTGTGGGTCTCCTTGGAGAGGCTGCGGCCACCGGCCACGAGCTCCTCTGTGCGCAGATACGTCATGAGTACGTGTTGCAGTTGGTGAACAGCTCACGACAACTTTGTGTTAATGGAATGTATACTCTGAGCAGAGAACGAAGAGCCCGGGGTTCTCGCGGGTTATGGCATCTGCCGCCTTGGCTAGCATTGCAGGTGACTCTCGACCGCGAGGGCCCAGGGTTCTTCGTTTTCTGGTCAGAGCTGCATAGCTTACCGCGGGACAGGAAGTAGGCGACGGTGGAGTAGACGTCCTCGCCGAGGAGGGTCTGGCGGCGCCACTCGGGGATGGCGACGAGGTTCAGGGGGGCGTTTTTGCCGTTGTCGATCTCGCTCACTCTAGCCTGCACAGCAATTATCCAAATCAGACTCTTGATTGACGTCACTGTTGGGTCTTCCCTCACGTTAGCCACTCACGGAAAGCTGGATTCCGGCGACGCTGCCCTGCTTGTCGAAGTAGACGCACACCCTGAAGTCGTTCTTGCGGCACCACAGGGTGGTGCTGTCGACGTCGTTGGCGGAAACCTGGGTGAAGTGGTCTTTCTCGGCCTCCTTGATGGTGCGGGGCATGGTGTAGAAGCTGAACTGGTGGAACAGGTCGGGCACGATGCTGTAGGTGACGATGAACTTGTTGGGCGTGGTTCCGGCACTCAGCACTGGTATCGCAGAGGAAACAAAAAAGAATCAAATGTGGTGTTGCTTTCACCAGGGCCAGGAAGAACAAGTAGTTGCACCGAGTTGCATGCTGCTACTACGCCTCAAGTCAAGCGTATGAACCGGCCAAATTTCAACCACGACGCTTGAAGAAAGGCTTCGTTTTCTGCCAGTACACGCACTGCCCGAATCTGCACCATCGAACAGTGGGCCAGGAGGCCAGGAGACCGGTGGAGGCGACCAAACTTCTAGACGCGTTTTTCAGCTCCAGATTTGCTAAACACTACTCGAACCGGTCGGTTCGAACCAGCCCACAGTGCATCGCGCCCTACTTACAGCCTGCCTGGGCGCTGCCGGCCAGGGCGACGGCCGCGGCCGCGACGATAAGGATGCGGAGCATGTTGTTGGTGCGGAGTGGACCGTCGAACAGGCACCGAACGGCACGAGGTGACCTTTTAAGGCTGTGAGCCGGGCTTCCGCGGGCCGCGTCGAAAACAGTGCTGGGATGACATACGTTGACACAGCTGGCCGGGACATTACGCCAGATGCTATGATCCTGAAATCGAAGAAGCTCGTGCCGTGGTGCGTCATTCGAGAAAAACGACACAGATTAATTCCTACAAAGAACTGCTCTTTGTAATACGAAGAAAACGGCGGCGGCTTCGCAGCCTGCGAAGGAAATTGTTTGTAATACGAACGATTTTCCTTGTAATACAAAGGAGAAATCCTTTGCAGGCTGCGAAGAAGTTCTTCGTAGGCTACGAAGAATTTTTTCTTTGTATTACAAAGAGAATTGTTCGTATTACAAACTATTTCCTTCGCAGGCTGCGAAGCCGCCGTTTTCTTCGTATTACAAAGAGCAGTTCTTTGTGCCGGTAAACGGAGTGCGGCCGGTCGCTGAAAAATGCGTCTTCGACTCAATCTATTGAAGTCCAGCCGTTAATAGCAATATCAATAGGGATAGCCCTATCCCTGGGGCAAGGTGGGCCACCGTCTTCGCACCGGTGTGTGGCGGTACAGCTTCACGGCCTACCTGGCAGGCGCTAGGATTGCGATTAATGACTCGACCGCCGGTGCGGAGTGGAGGCGGGCCGCTATAGGGATTAGGGTTAGGATCGGTACCCGATGCCGCAAGCCACTTTGCACTGAATTCAAGTGTGGGACTTGCAAGCGTGGGACACGGTTTGTCCCACACCGTAAGCGTGGGACACTTTGTCCCACGCTTTCAAACGTGGGACATTTTGTCCCTCGCTTACAATCGTGGGACAGTTTGTCCCACGTTACCTAGTGCATGCCTGTCCCACAATTGGATTAGCAGTGTGCTCACCACCCTCGCCTTACCTCCTGCCTTGACCGCCGTGCTCACGCTGTCTCAGCCACCGCCTTGCTCGGCGCCCTGCTCACATCCCTTGCTCCACCGCCTTGCTATCCGGCGTCGTGGTCGTGTGTGCGACTGACCACTCGCTCCATCACACCCTTTCCCTTCCTGGCTGGAGATTTATCTGGCCATTTTCACCCGCAGACAGACAGACAGATAGACAGACAGACAGACAGACAGTGAACCGGGCAGCCACTGCGGGAGCCACCCGGCGCAACGCCTCCACCGGGACGACGACGACGACAACGACGGCGGCCTTCTCGGCGGAAAAAAGCGGATCGGAAATAAATAAACGAGTCGGACGGAAGAGACACCGCACGCGCCTGCCTTGGGTTGCCTCGGGTCTCCTCGCCGACGTCTTCCTCGCTCTTTTGGGGGCGGACCGACCGGGCCGCCGTCCGCCGCACGCCGCCGGCCGGCGCCGTCGAGTGGTCAAGACGGCCAGCCTAACGACGTCCTCCAACACCCTTTCGTTTTCCACCCCGCGCCTTGTGTGTGTGTGTGTGAGTGTGTGTGCGTGCGTGGGGGTGTGTGTGAGTGTGTGTGCGCGACTGGACCCAGGGGGCGCTCAGCGGCCCTGTGAGTGTATGTGACTGTGAGTCGCGTCTCCACACACACACACACACACACACACACACACACACACACACACACACACAAACACACACAAACACACACAGAGGCGAGCGCCGTCATGCGCCTTTGTACGATTTGGCCTAGGAATATAAATAACGAGGATGGTGTCCAACCAAAGAGGTGGACCAGACAGGACATAACAGCGCCGTGGAGTGGGCTTTGCGCTTTGCCAGGCTTCGCGGTGCTTTTGCGGTGCTTTGCTCGGGGATAGAAGCGATTCTTTGGCGGCGGCCGCGGATCTTTTTCGCGTGTGTTGGCGCGACGTGGGGCTGGGTCCCCGTTTGTCAACCAACTCGTGTCGGAAATGTTGCGAGAGGTGGGACGACGTCGCCTCAGCCTGTGTGTCCGACGACGGACAGTGCGAGGGGTCCTATTCAAAAGATCTTATCTGGGCGTTCCCACCAAGACAATCTTATTTTAAACGCAGGTGAATTTCACTGAGTTTGATCATTTGATCAGGTACAAATCAATATCATTTGTGAATGAATTCACTGAAATGTGAAGATGAAATATCAAAGAAACCAATAGTGCATGTAGAAATATATTCCGCTTACCCTCGTACCCCTCCCAAACGGTCAAACTGAGTGAAATTCGCCGGCGTTTCAGATAAGATTGTCTTTAGGGAACGCCCAGATAAGATCTTTTGGATTGGACCCCTCGAGTGTGACTCCAGTCGTACTGCGTAACGTAAAGTCGAAACCTGTGCTGTCGAACACGAGGGGGTAAACACTTCAAGAAATCGTGTATAGACTGGGGATCCGGCATTCAAAACTCCTACGAACAGCGATCCGCGTAATACAGATAGACAAATTTGTACAAATAACAATAAATCTTTGTACCTGGTGAAATCATCCGAATTGCCATGCCAGCTTAATCCATTCATATGAACTCTCTATGCGCGCAGCGGATCCGTGAAAAGTTAGTGCGGATCCGCAGAGATTAAAAACGCGAGAATGATGTGACTCCGAGGAAATCGGCCCAGAGACGTTTTTTACCTTTTTACTCGGACATTTCCGTGGCGCGCTCTTTCCGCCGACGTCGGCGTCCCCTTTCCTCCTTTTTTGCGTCTTGGCTAGCGTGAGATATCGGCCGTCCGCCACCAGACTGATTCCGAAGAAAGATCGTTTCGTCGCTCTGTCTCTTTCTCTCTCTCTCGCTCTCACGGGGCGTCCCGCGTAGGCGCGAGAGAGACAGAGCGACGGAAGCGACCCTCGGAATCAGTCTCGCGCGGGGCTGCCGGACACTCTGGCGCAGGCACGCCGCGTCGCTGCGGCGCCTTTATTCTAACCTCCCACCTCGCGGCCACATGTTATTGCCGAGTCCGGCAGTCGGGCCGAGTCGGCAGAAAGGGGTCATCGCGGGCGGGCCAGCCTCCGGGCGCCTCCGGGACGGCCGGAAGGGGAAAAAAAATGTAAATCGAGAAACGGGAAGCAAGCGGTCGCCAAACTGCCGAGCCGAGCAAGGAGTGCGCGAAAGGGAGTCAAGGTTTTCAATAACGGGGCCAAGCCCACCTGAAAAAAAAAAAAGTTCTAATAATTCTGTTTTGTTTTCTAAGGGAATATTTTTGAATTCAAGGGGCACTGTAAGAGAAAGTTCAACAAAAAGTACAACAAAAACTGTACAATAAAAGTACAACAAGGGTAGAAAAGTGCAACCAAAATTGTACGGAGCCACAAAGAGGCATGCACTGCACAGTACTCGTCATGCTGTCTAAGTACTTTGTACAACAATTGTTGTACTTAGAAAGTACAATAAATATTCATGATAAAAAATTTGCCAGGAATTCTCGCATTTTCGTTGTGGTCTTTTTCTAACAGTGTGGCTTCTTAAAATCTGAGAGATTCTTCCTTTAAATTGAAGAAAATATTTCTTTGTAACCCTTTGAATTATTTGTCTGTTGGGCTGCAGCTCGCTTTGAGCGGCAGGCTGGTTCCAAGCCGTCGTTTCGTCGCTCTATCCCTCTCGCACTCCCGGGGTGTTCCGCAAGGGCGCGAGAGAGACAGAGCGACGAACCGCTGCGCGCGGACTCGGAGTATGCAGGGCGCCCGCGGGAAAAGCGCATGCTACGGGGATTACCGCTGCACCCTGCAGCAGCGAGGAGCCCGTCAAGGCCGAGAGGCAGTGAGCACACTGTAAGCACAGTGGGAACGCGCGCTGGTCATCGGCGAGGCGCTGCTTGTAGTGTAGTAGGCGGTGGCGGCGCGCACAATGCAAGTGCAAGGGCCCCGGCGTAATCCGAGACGACGCACCGCGCCCGAGGCGCGGCCCGCCGGCCCGCCAGACTCAACACAGTTGCACAGGAATGTTCTGGAGCACCACCTGCAGTGCTGCACCGCGGTCCGCTACTGCGAACCATTTCCCAGGCCCCCGCCAGCCAGGCCGAAGCCCGCCGCCAAATAGGGCAATAATCGGTCAGAAAGAGAGGGTAGACGTCGAGGACGCCGACGCCGACCCCGGGCTAGTGCCGCCAATCACGACCTCCGAACCAGGAGCCGAGGACGCCGAGGTCGCCGTGCACGGCGGCGACGTTGAAGGGTTGGGCCGCAGCGGCTCAGCACCGCGGCGACGACCCGGAGAGCCACTCGAACATGTCACCCGGAGCGGCACGTGTGTGTGTGTGTGTGTGTGTGTGTGCGCGTGTGCGTGTGTGTGTGTGCAGCGGCGGCCGCCCCAAACATGCAAGACGCGGCCGGGCGGTGCCGGGCGGCACGTTTCATCCTTTGATGTGCAGGCAGCCCTGAACGTCGCGTCGCAACAAGATGTCGCTTTGTGGCCGCGGCCGCCGACACAGTCGCCCGACGCAGTCCGACGGCCTCCAGAGTGCTCCAGAGCCGCAACAGAAAATGAACAAGGCCGCCCCAGAGCCACGATAAGCGAATTCAATTAATTTATCCAAGAGGGAAGAAAGATCCCTTCCTTCGAAAGCTGCATCGCATCAATTGTCACTTGTCTTGTCCTCCGTGCGCGCGATTTCGGTTTCTCACGGCGGATTGTAGCGCCCCTGGCGACTGAGCGCCGAACTGGGAGGAAGAGAGACAGAGACTGTGCCGGTACTGTACGCCCGCCGGCCGTACTCACGCGAGGCCGAGGCGTATCACTGTCCGGACTCAGGAGTACCGGGGATGAAAAGGGAATACAGACCGGCGAGCCGATTCCGAACGGAGCTTTCGTCGCTCATCCCGTCTCGCTCGCACTCGCCGGGCGTCCGAGAGGGGTGCGAGAGAGACAGAGCGACGCAGCGCGGTTTCGGCACCAGTCCGGAGCGCTTCTGTGGCATTATCCTCCCACGTAAACAGGCTTGTTGTCTTTCTTTTCTTCTGCTCCTTCATTGTGGAGTCAAACCTCCTTTTCGGGCTGTGCTCGCGGCTGTGCAGTGCGGGCCCCCGCCGCCCCCGCCGCCCCCTCCGCCTGGCCCCCGCCCCCACCCCCTCCCGACGACTGATACAGATAGGGAAAGGGTTCGTGTTTTGAATCAGGTGCGCACCGCGCGGCCGTCTGCTTTCAATAGCGACCCCCACCCCCTCCCCCTCCCCCCGCCTTCCGCTTCCCACAGTGCCCCCACCCCCACACCTGTGTAAGCCTTCCCCATTGTGCGCGCTCCTTGTCTTTAATTTATATCAGGGAGTGGCTATGTTGGTAATCGTTCGCCGTCGTGGGATTCTCTGGATGCGATATCGTGGCAGGGACAAAAGTACGGGGCGGGGCGGGGCGGGGCGTGGCGGGGCGGGTTGGACCACAAGAAGGGGCGGCGTGTGTGATTGCGGGGGCAGAGCAGCAGCAAGTGAAACCGAATCCGAACGGCGCGGTTGCGCCAAATTATTTCGCAGTGCTATAGCCAGGGGGATGGGGGTTAATTTCCTCCGACAAACAGTTTCTGCGCGCGGATAAAATTTCCCGCGTCTCGATTTTTATTTTGCTCGCAGACTGTGTGAGGGAAGACGCGAACAAGAAGCTGCTTCTAAACTACTGCTCTGCGGATCCAGTTTTTCCAGTGTAGCAGTCAGAGGGCGCGAGATGCGTCACGTCCGCGCGCGTTTTGTTCCCTGAAAGGAGGAGAAGAAGTACATCAAGAAGTGTTTCGCGTTTCGGGGGTGAGCGTGGGGGAGGGGGAGGGGAGGGGAGGGGGAGGGGAGGGGAGGGGGAGGGGAGGGGAGGGGAGGGGGAGGGGAGGGGGAGGGGGAGGGGTGGCGGGTGCGTCAGCTCGCCCTTCCCCGCCACACCCCGCCCCGCCCCGCCCCGCCCCGCTGGCCTGCATCGGACAGACTCGCAATGAGACTGTTGTCTCTTCATTCAGCTCCACCGAGTTTGGATTGGAGATCACTGCAAGTGGGACTGCACACTGTACAGCGAGCGCGGTCGACCCCGGCCAGACCAACCCTCCAATTGGCCACACCGCAAAAAAAATATCAAAAATCTTAATAAAGTATAAATGAAATATTTTTCAGAATTGAATTGAGCTCGGCATAAGGCATTGATAGCGGCTTGAGCGAATGTGCACAGGCTTCCTTTCCGAAGGCAATCAGAAAAACCTGGCATAGCAAGCCTACCGCAATGACCTGCATTCACGACGAGCAGACTGACTTTGTTCAAACTAAAACAAAATCCTTAAATTTTGACAAAATTTCTGAGAAACAAAACGTCATTTTTGGTGACATACGGTTTGCGGGTGGCATTCGTGACCACACGGCCACGGCCGACCGGGATATCGAAGACCCGACCGCAAAAGTGCACACACAATGGCAGTCCAGCAATCCACTTAAAGATTACTCCACCGGCCCACACAAATGCCGCCCAATGGTCCGGAAACAACAGTTGCAACTCGATACATGACTTGATTATTGTTGTTAATTCGACCGGCATTATCGTTGGCTACTGTCCTGTAGTAATGCGATTTCGGGTCGGAAATCCGATAATGTGTCTCACCTACGCTCTATTGCCTCCCAGCGCAAGTTGTGTGTCCCCCAGAGTTGTGGGGAGTGCGCAGGGGGGGGGGGGGGAAGAAAGGGGGCACATGTGTTCAAGAGTCTATTGGCGCTTGGCATTGATGGTACGTCAAGTCAGCTAGACAAGATGCACAATTTGGCATGTTTCTTAAAATAAGGATACAAACCCTCAAAATCGGCATTGTTTTTTAAAAAAAAACGTAAAGAAAAACCTAAAAGTTTTTAAAAAGTGTGTCCAAAAAGAAGTGGGCGGTTGAAGATGCAGACGGCTCACGTGTTGAATAATAAAAATGTTGGCAACCGCGTCACGTCGTCTGCCGCCGCTCCAGTCTCGCTCCAGTGCCGCTCCAGTGCCGGCCGAGGGAAGGGGGTGAGGGACGCGGCGGGACGCGGCGGGACGCGGCGCTGGAGGCGGGGCCTGCTCCTGGAGACTCCATGAGGCTCCTCCCCCTCCGACTGGAGAACACACGGCGCGCCGCGGACACATACACACACATACACACACTCACTCGCACACACTCGCAACCACCGTCACGGGTTGCGAAGCACAGTATGATATTCAGACATGGATTCGTCCGGGTAATTGGCTGAGCTGTATCGAACTACTTGCGGAGACCTCCACTAAAAAAATCAAGCGATGTTTTTTTTTTATTTCGTTTATTTTTGGTCTGAGGGGGAAGGAGTGAAGGGTTGATGGTGCTGACGCTAACCGAAGCATGGTTCAGCTGGCGCGATGAGAGCTGAAAATGCGTAAGCCAGTAAAGTTTTCCATTTGACAGCACATTTGCGAGAAAACGTACGGAGCTCTTTTCTAATCATATTTTGCAAAAAAATATTTTTGGGGATTCTCATAGACTTGCACTACCATTAGTTTCAAATTATTTCCCCTAAAGCCTGTGTAGACCACTTTGAACTGTGCGTGAACGTGAACTGACTGTTAGATCACAGAAAACACACCTAATTTTTGACAGCTCAACAATTGGACTCGTCCGAAACTCTGGAGTAAAGGATCATCGGACTCGGCTCAGCGTATTCATTCATACACTGTGAGAAAAAAGTACGGAACATGTCTGGTCAATAATTTGCCTGGACCGTCCGTACTTGCCTACTACGGAACGTTCCGTACTTTTATTTCCGTACCAATTTACATGGGTTCATATGGAGCAAGTACGGAACGTTCCGTTCTTTTCTCCGTACCTCCGTACTATATTTTTCTGCACCATTTCCGTACAAAAGTACGGAATTTCTTACAGTGTAGAATAAAATTGAAACTCCACACGAGGTTACTCAACTCTAGCTCCACTACTGACGCACTTGAACTCAATTCACACTCACAGACGCGGATCCTGCTAGACGCGTCCTGCGAGACAGCAGAATTGGCCTATAATGCGACGGCCGATATGCAGGCACGCACACCGTGGCACATCCGCGCGCACAATGGAAAGGAATCACAGGCAGTCCCGAAGGAAACATGAAATAATGTACAACATATCATTCATAACTAGCTGCAGCTTCCTGTAAGAGGACACCTCCGTAACAGATACGTGTAGCCATTGTCCCCGGCTGGCCTGGCTGGCTGCCCCCTCCGCGCAGACCCACGCCGACCCCCCCGGGCCGCGCGGCGACGCGGGGCGACGCGGCCGCCTGGATGCAGCGTCGGCGGCCTCGGCGGGGGGGACGCGGCGCTGGCCGCGCCGTGGTTGGCCGCGGGTGCCGGGCCTCCCCCACCCCCGGCGCGGCCAGCCAATGGGAGCGCGGCCTGGCTGGCCCGGCCTGCCCGGCCGCTGGAGAAGGCGTCGGTGGAGGCGGCGAGGCGGCAGCGGGGCGGCCGGGAAGGAAGCCTGTTCATTCCATGTCGAACCGGCGACCGCGCGCCACGCGACCCAGGACCACGACAGCCCCTCTGCGCCAGTGTGTGTGTGTGTGTGTTTGTGTGTTGTGAGCCTGTTGCTGCCGCCGCGCAGCGGATGAGACAGTAGGCTGGCCCTCGGCGCGGGCCTCATGGCCATGTCCGGGATGGACATGTCGGCCGGCATGGACATGACGGCGGCCCTGGCCATGTCGCAGCACCCCGTGCTGGGCGGCATCCCGCCCGCCTTCTTCCTGCGCGCCTCGGAGCGCTACCAGCGCACCCCCAAATGCGCCCGCTGCCGCAACCACGGCGTCGTCTCCGCCCTCAAGGGCCACAAGCGCTACTGCCGCTGGCGGGACTGCGTGTGCGCCAAGTGCACCCTCATCGCGGAGAGGCAGCGCGTCATGGCCGCCCAGGTAGGTAACCTTACCAAGTATTTTGAACGTACATACGTACAGACTAATCTACTTTGTTAGACGAAGAAATAGTTCGTAAATTACGTACGAAGTATTTTCTTTGTAAGCTTATCTATGCTCAAAATACTTTGTTCTAACAAACTGCTTTGCTTTGTAAGGCCTGAAATAGTATGTAAGGTTTTGTCAGTGCAATAGACAACCGAATCCAACCCAAACCAGGTCGGACATTGTAACGGGTCGTTTGGATCTGCCCCTGGTGGGACACACCAGGCCGCCCGCTACTTTGGTGGACCCCTACTACTGTCACCGTCGCGTCACAGTCACTGTCACAATGTGTCGCAACCGCAATCGGAGACTGTCAAAGATGTAGCGGTCGAACTGTCATAGATGCCATGTATGTCGCGTCCGATAGCAGCCCCGCGGACAACGATATTTTGTGTGGTCGAGAGCAGAGAGACGCTTTTGAAACCATTCGGACGTGTTTCGCATTGTATTCAAAAGGCTGTCCGGGAGATTTGATCTTAAAATATTTTGTTAGTGAACGGTGTTGACTACGTTTATAAATGATCATGGACTGAGTAGCGGCCTTTGGAACAAACTTTTTTTGACATTCCCATTTACGTATTTTTAACAGTAAAAGTTACTTTTATTTTGTTAAGTTGTTTTCCAGGTCCAGAAGCTTATTTAACGCGGTGTCTCAGGCTGACTGTGTAGATAATTACTGAGCAAAGCACCCAATCGAGGGTTTTAAACGTTCAAAACGTCCGCCACCCCCTGGATATCCTCTCATCATTAACTGTTCTACTATTTCATATACAGCTTTATACAGATTCAGCTAAATGTACTGAACTAAAATGCTGAGCTAGCCAGCGTGTCCATTTTGACGCATCCGAGCCCGGTTGGTCATTTGAGTGCAGTAGAAGCGCGGTGTCGGTGTCAAAGAAACATCACTGTGAATTTCAGTGAACAAATCCAATGAACTTCAGTTGAATTTTGATAAATTTTAGGCAAAAACTACTGAATTTTGAGAAGAATTTAATCATAATAAATTTTGATGATTTTACTGAATTTTAGTGAATATCACAAGTTTGATGAATTTTGGTGTACAAACTTTGGCTGGAGTCCCCTTGGTCGGTGTCCAGCCGCCGGGCAGGCCGCACGATGGAACGCGCTCCAAGCACGCGTGTTAAGGCGCGTGTCTTAATGAGCCAGGTGTAGAGCTCTCGTGTGGAGAGCGCTCGAGCCACAAAGCGCCTCCACGGGAGCAGTGCGGCAGAGCAGAGCGCGCTGCTTCAGTGTTCTTTTTGTAGCGCGCTGTCACTTGTTGAAGGCCCTGGCCTGCCCTGGCCCCGCGGGGGCGGCGGCGCCCACTCCGCCCTCTGTGGCCCTGTCGGGCGATGCCGCAGCGTCGCTCTGTCTCTCTCGCACCCTGATGGGACGCCCCGTGAGTGCGACAGAGACAGAGGGAGGAAAGGACGACGGTGCAGAGTCGATCTGCTGGTGGCGCGGCTGTTGCGGCTGAAGGGGCGTGTCCGCCAGCTCGGCGTTGCAGTGGGCTAGAAGACCGCTGGAGGCGGCCAAAATTCTTGACGCGTTTTGAGCTCTAGAGTCGCTAAATGGTAGTCGAACCTAACGTGTGACCCCACCAATGGATTGCTCTCCGAACGAGGAATCCATTGGTCGCACGTTTGGTTCTCAAACCGCGTCTGGAGGTTTGACCGGCTCCGCCGGTCTTCTGGCCCACTGCGCGTCGTCGCGATGGCGTTCGTGATGGTGAGGGTCGTCGTGTTGTTGCAGGTCGCGCTCCGCCGGCAGCAAGCGCAGGAGGAGAGCGAGGCGCGCGAGCTGGGGCTGATGTACGCGACGCCGCCCGGCGCCGGCTCCAACGGCGCCCCCGTCGGCGGGCCGTCGCCGCCCCTGAGCGCGCCGCTCACCTCGCCGCCGGCCGCCACGCCCGGCGCCACGGACCTCGGCCTGGCCGGGCTGCTGCCGCGGACGCAGCCCGCCTTCCCCGGCGCCGAGCCCGGCAGCAGGGACAGCCGGGACAGCAGGGACAGCCGGGACAGCCCCAACAGTGAGTACTCAACCCAACCCGGCGTCGAGGTCTCCGCCCGAGGGGCGACCCACCGTAAAATTTTGTGCACTATGATTGTCTGAATGTGCAAGATTTCTGGCGTTTTTGCCACACACGTTGCCTACTTACAGGCGTTTTTGCCACACACGTCACCTACTAACAGGCGTTTTTGCCACACACGTTGCCTACTTACAGGCGTTTTTGCCACACACGTTGCCTACTTACAGGCGTTTTTGCCACACACGTTGCCTACTTACAGGCGTTTTTGCCACACACGTTGCCTACTTACAGGCGCTTTTGCCACACACGTTGCCTACTTACAGGCGTTTTTGCCACACACGTTGCCTACTTACAGGCGTTTTCGCCAATGTGGACTCTGGTCAACACACTAAATTCTTATGGACTTTTTAAATGCATAAAGACGCAGTTTTTATGCATAGTTATGCATGCTCAGAATCGTCCATATGTTATGTATAAAATTATGCATCACTGTGTACATTTTATGCATCTTCCTGCATAAAATGTACACAGTGATGCATAATATTATGCATAACATATGGACGTTTCTGAGCATGCATAACTATGCATAAAAAAGTCCACAAGAATTTAGTGTGAAATTTTGTACAATGGATGTGGGAAGCTGTTCCCCCCTCGTCTCCGTCCGCCACCGCCTCCGCCACGGAGCGGGGCTCTCTGAGGTCGCGCCCCGGCAGCCCAGCGACTCAGCAGAGCGGCTTGTCGCTCTGTCTCTCTCGCACGCCCTTACGTAAAGCCCCATGAGTGCGACAGAGAGTGACCTAACGACTCTTTCTGAATCGCTCGGCAAGTCGGTCACTCCGAGAGAGCTGGGGCTCTCGTCGGCCTGTCTCTATCGCACGCGTACGAAACGCCCCACGAGTGCGAGAGGGTGAGAGGGAGAGACGGGCAACTCCGACTCGGGGGCGGGAAGGAAGGGCGGAGGAGGGCGGAGCGGGGAAATGGGATGGCGGGTAATTTGAAAAAGCTCTCCAGGCGGAAGCACATTATCAGACGCATTTCGCACTCGGCATTTGCCTGCATTTGCCTTCTCCCAGCCGAAAATTCCGGCCCTGATTCCGGCCGGAATTTCTAGTTCCGGCCGGAACTTAGCCTTTTTCCGGCCGGAGGTGGCTTTTTTACGGCCGGATTTCTCGGTCCGGCCGGACATTTTTGAAGTCCGGTCGGAACTTTTCGTTCCGGCCGGAACTTTTGAAAATCTCCGGCCGGAGCCTCAGATTCCGGCCGGACCCGAGCCACCGCCCAGAAGGTAGGCACAATTGTATGACAATTGGGTAGGCAACCCGCTCCACTTTTTGGGTCATTTTGCGAACGGATGGTCCTACGGGTATGGCGATGGTACCAATCGACTCAGAATCGAAAATTGACCTTCCGACCATACCTTGGACACTGTCCCATGGTCTTTGTGGTCAGAGTGACTGATGTCTGCTCCGGCCGGACTCCGCGTCCCGGCCGGAAATTTACCCAAAATACGGCCGGAGTCATAACGGAGTCCGGCCGGACTATTTTCCGGCCGGAGGGTGGCCGGAATTTTCGGCTGGGCTGCGCCATCGGGGAAATCAGCCATCGGCCATCGCGCGTCGCCGCGCTGAAAAAGAGGACGAAAACGGGATGGGAAAAAAAGAGAAGCGGGAGAGAGAGAGAGAGAGAGGGAGAGAGCGGCGCGATGCGCGGCCAGGCTAGCGGGTGGGAGCGAGACGAAAAAGTGTTGGCATTTATTTACACTCCGCGTTGGGAAATGGAATTCGGCTGTGTGAGCGTGTGCGAGTCTCACCACGCGCACGCACGTGTGTGTGAGTGTGTGAGTGTGAGTGTGTGTGTGTGTGTGTGTGTGTGCGTGTGTGTGTGTGTGTGTGTTTGTGTGTGTTAGTGAGCCCGCGACTGAGGCGTCTTCAAGAAGAGATGGCATATTGTAATGGCGTTTCTACCAGCATACACACACACACACACACACGAGCCCGCCGGAGTGCTTGGCGTTATTTGCATGTACACGACACGACGGCTCGTCGGGTGCATCACGGGCATCATGGAGGACAGCAGCGAATCGCAGCAGCTGCTATCCGCCGCTCCTCCTCCATGAGTAGCATCATCCCTGGGAGCGTCTCGAGGTGCCTCGACATGGTAATTGGGCTCGGGGAACGGAACGCAAATCCAGACGAGTACCCGCCGTGGGTACGTCAACGCCAACGCCACAATCAAGTCGGCAGTGTCACACAGTGGGCCAGAAGGCCGGTGGAGGCGGCCAAAACTCTAGAGACGCGTTTTGAGTTCCAGAGTCACTGAATGGAACTCGAACCTTACGTGTGACCCCACCAATGGATTGCTCTCCGAACGAGGAATCCATTGGTGGGGTCACACGTTCGGTTCGAGTCCCATTTCGCGACTCTGGGGCTCAAAACGCGTGTAGAGTTTTGGCCGCCTCCACCGGCCTTCTGGCCCACTGTGTGTCAACAGCCGCCGGTCGGTCGGATGCGGCACGCGGCCATTTGGACGTGTTGGATTCGTTCGAGACCGAGTCCGCCCACTTTGGGTCTCTCTTTTTTCCCGACCTCATTCTGGCCACTTTCCGGGAATCCCGCGAACAACGCCTCGGAAAAAGGCGGGACAAAAACGCGGGAAACGGGGGCGGACTTCAAAGATAACGTTCAACGAGACACGTCGGGCGCGCCGCGCTGCCATTCGCTCATATTCTCAATTTCCGTTTGTGCCCCCGCGCGTGTCAGTGTGTGTGCGTGTGTGCGTGTGTGCGTGAGGTTCGACACCCCGCTTTGGCTGGCTGCCTGGCTGGCTGCCTGGCTGGCTGCCTGGCTGCGAGGCGACGACGTGTCATGCGAAAGCAATTTCTGATTCGAGTGGTGTGGCTGCCGGGCCAGCGGTGCTGGCGCCCGGCCCAGCCAGCAAAACTGATTCCGAGAGTCGTTTTTGTCGCTCGGTCTCTCTCGCGCTCATGGGACGTCCTTCCCCTAACGGCAGGAGAGAGACGGAGCGACGAAAATGACTCTCGGAATGAGTCTGCAGCCTCGCCGCCACGCCACACCGTGCACCTAAACGGGCAAGACTGGGGCGTTTATGTTTTACCTCCCTCCCTTGTTTTTGTTTGCCATGCCGATGAAGCCATAAGAAGGAAAATCGAGATTCTAGCAGTATCTTGAGCGCCATGCGCGCTCATCCACAAAATGGTTCTTCTGATCCATGATAATTTACTTGGGGCAAATGGAACAAACTAAAACAAATTGATTTACTCAAAAATTCCCAAGTTCGGTCAGTGCTCCTCTCCGCTTTCCTCGTTGCCCTGCGACTTATTCCCCAAGTTCCTGTCTTGGTTACCGTTCCCAGAATCCTTCGATAGTTTCGTTCTGGCCAAGGCGGATCTGCGTTGCCAACAATGAACGACTCGCCGCTCCAAAACTTCTGCACTCTTTCTTCGCTCAGTTTGACTCTCGATCTTTCGTTTTCAGGCGGCGCAAACGCCCTTTACTTCCCCCCCCCCCCCTCTCTCTCTCTCTCTCTCTCTCTCTCTCTCTCTCTCTCTCTCTCTCTCTCACTCTCTCTCTCTCTCTCTCTCACGCGCGCTAGTCAATGCCCGGCGTTGGCATTAGGGCATTCGCAATCAAAGGAGAAAGAGAGAGAGAAGCAGAAATAAGAAAGCTGCGATAAGCAAAAGGAAAATAAATAAGGGAGAAATGGGAAAGGAAACGGCGCGGCATTGAGACTGACCAAATGAAATAATAACCCTGGCTAGTCTGGAAAGCACTTGGGATGCAAGTACCGACATTATCGCAATTAGTCGCCCTCCGCGCGCCACAAGTGCCTCCGCGAGCCCCGCCCCGCCCCGCCCCGCCCCGCCCCACCACGCCCGGCGCCACTCGCAATTAGATGCGGATTTACAAGGTGTTGGCTTATTTTCACACCGGAGTGCGTGGCTCACAACCGCGCGAGTAAAGTTGGAACTTGGAGCGGAAGTAAACGAGGCCGAGTGTATGTGAGTGTGTGTGTTTGTGAGTGTGTGCGCACGTGACACGGCTCGCCAAGAGATGAAAATGTGTGTCGACGTGGGGAAACTAGCGGAGCCTCGCCGGCCTCTCTGTCAACGCGGTGGCCATTGCAAAACACAAATGTCACAACCGAACTGCTGGCGCGGGGCTGCGCGCGGCTTGGCCCGGCCCCGCCGCGCCCCGCGAGGGCCCCGCCACTACCACTACACTGTACTCCGCGTATAGCTATGGCCGCGCAGCTCGCCGGGGTCGGCCGGGTCGAGCGGCGGCGCCACTCCAGCGCTGTGTTTTGTATGTGTTCAACGTCGAGTGGCATATTCTGCGGAAATACAGTACAACTGCGGCCAGAGCCGATTATATGGTCAGCTGTGGCCACTCGGGCTCAGCCCTCTCCAGTGCCCTCCTTCCCCCCCCCCCCCCCCCCCTCTCTCTCTCTCTCTCCCGCTCTCTCCTCTCTCACTTCCAACATCCCCTTGGTTCTCCAATGAACGTGGAAGCAAAACTGGACTTATCTGAAATGCAAAAACAACTCCCCCTTTCGAAACATGTTTTTCGCCATCTGTATTTTTTCTTACTTTCTAGGCTTGGATGGGATGAAAAAATATCTGAAGTATTGAACCCTAAGTTTCGATTAAGAATCCTAGTGGTTTTATGTTTGAAACTTCGGTATGAGAGTAGTTCATTTTCTTTCCAAAAATCTCGAGTTAGACCAAGGCAGTGTTGTCCCAAATTTGAATACAAAACAAAATTTGCGCGGATTAGTCGATGTGCGACGCAGCAGACGATGTCCACGCCGAAGGTGGTAACGGTGTAACCGGCACCAGTTATCGATTGGCGGTCGTCGGCGACCTCGCGCGCAGCTCAGGGCTGCCGGGCCGCCCGGCCGGACCTCCGCCTTGGTCGCCAATCAGAAAATTCCTGCCCCGGGCTTATTGTGAAATTCCTTTGTCTCTATAGTAGCGGCCACAAGCGCAGAAACCATAAAACCGTTTCATAAAGGGTGGCCGAGGGCGTGGCGGGGCGTGGCGGGGCTATTACTGTAGCTTACTGCCAGTGGAGGGCTCCGGGGCCCAGGCCCCGGCGGGGGCGGGGCGAGCGGCATTTCATATAACTTGGTGACTCTCTGTATGGCCGGTTTCAGGGTGGCGGCAGGGCACTGTGCAGGGCGCCATTCATGTAGGGGTCGCTTTTGGCCAGCCTTGGCCGTCCTCCGTGTGTGTCGCTCTGTGTCTGTGCGTGTGTGTGAGTGTGTGTGCGTGTGTCTGTGTGTCTGTGCGTGTGCCTGTGTGTTAGTGCGGCCGGAATTATTATATGTTTCCACGCCAGTGAGTGCGAGTGAGTGCGGGGCGCTCCATTCAAGGATGCAGCCTCGGCCGGCCGCGGCGCCAGGATAATGATTGCGAACCCCCGCGCTGGTTACTTTTCGGCCGAGACGTCGCTCTGTCTCTCTCGCTCTCCCACGGCGCGCCCCACGGGTGCGAGAGAGACGGAGCGACGCGAGGTCGGAGTCATTAGTGACGAGCGGCGCGTTCATTCCGCGCGTTTAGACTACATACTATCCATCCCTCGTGGGACAATGGGGCCGGCCGGCTGGGCTGGGAGGGCGCCAGCAGACTGATGCCGAGAGTCGTGTTCGTCGCTCTGTCTCTCTCGCACCCATACGGGGCGCCCCATGAGTGCGAGAGAGACAGAGCGACGAAAGGGACTCTCGGAATCAGTCTACGGCCCACTGGCAAGCCGGGGCCCAGGGCGCCAGCACAAAGGCGGGATACCTTGAGCGGCGTGGGGAGGTTCTTCAAGGAGGCCGGGGGTGGCGAGGGAGGAGGAGGAGGTCGACCTCGCGAGGCGAAGGTGTCGTAAAACGAAAACTCTCCTCGAATGGGTCTGCTTGGTGGCGTTCTGCGCTCGCGGTAGTCGCGGTCGTCGTGGTCGTCGTGGTTCGCGGTCGTCGTGGTTCGCGGTCGTCGTGGTCGTCGCGGTCGTCGCGGTCGTCGTGGTCGTCACGGTCGTCGCGGTCGTCGCGGTCGTCGCGGTGGTGCGAAGGGTTTCCGCGGCGACCGCAGCAGGCTGCTAACCGCGCGCTCGCTCTCGTCGCCCCGTCTCTCTCGCACTCACGGCGCGTTCCGCAGGGGTGCGAGAGAGACAGAGCGCCAGCCCGCAGTGACCGTATGATTGATCCGGCGCGTGCCCGGCACGCGTGCCCGCCACGCGGCGCAAACGATGTGGCCGCCACGCCCTCCCCTCGCCCCTTCTCTTCCTCTCTCACTCGGCCGCGCTCCGCACCGCGCCGAGCCGCGCCGAGCCGCGCCGAGCCGGAGCTTTCCCAGCGAAGGTGTTGTTTGTATTTGTGTTATGATGTGGAACGAATGAGTAGAAAACGGCCGCCCCAGATCCCGGCTCCTCCTCAGTGCTTCTGCCTCCGCTTCGCGCGCAATCGCGCAAACGAATAGTGTATTCCAAACCGTGAATCAAAGAGCGAGTCGCGAGAGAGCAACGCGAAAACGTTTTAGAAACGCGCGTGAATTCAGTTTCCCCCTGGCGGAAGCGGAGAGGCCCTCGCCCGCCTGGTCCGATAACTTTCCATAGCGAATGTGTTTTTTCACTGCGATAGTCGGCGAGGCTTCGCGGTTAGAACGCCTGCCTGACTGCCTGGCCGGTTGGACGAGGCGCGCCCCGCTCCACAGTGGGCCAGAAGACCGGTGGAGCGACAGCCAATCCTGGACGCGTTTTGAGCTCCAGAGTCGCTAAATGGGACTCGAACCGACCGTGTGACCCCACCAATGGATTCCTCGTTCGGAGAGCAATCCATCGGTGGGGTCACACGTCGGTTCGAGTTCCATTTGGTGACTCTTGAGATCCAAACGCGTCTAGAGTTTTGGCCGCCTCCTCCGGTCTTCGAATCCCACTATGCGCTCGTCTCTCTCGCCCCCCTGTGGCTCAGCCCGTGCGTGCGAGAGAGACAGATAAGTACGGTTCAGGACTCAGCCCGCAGAGGAGGAGATGAAGCCATTGATTCTGTAATGAATAATCTGGCAGCACGCAGGTGGTGACGGCTGCGGCGCTTATGCGTCCAGCGCGCTCTGTCTCTCTCGCACGCACGCGCGGGGCCTTACTCCGCGCACGGGTGCGAGAGAGACAGAGCGACGAAAGCGACTTCCAGTTGTTTACGGGGCCCTGGCCAGTGCCTGGCCGGGGAACGGGGCAGTAAATCGGCGAGCTATTGTCAGTGTTTAGGATAATGTGCGCACACGCGGCGGGCACAGCCATGGCACTGCGCGGCGAGAGGCGCCGGACCGGGCCGCCCTGGACCCTCCCACAGCCGTAACTCAACACGCCGCCAGCCAGCAGGCAGCCAGCAGGCAGGCAGGCGGCAGCCAGCCACGCGAGCACACGGCCGCGTCTGTCACAGACCACCAGGACCACCAGCCGCGGGGCGGGGCGGGGCGGGGCGGGGCGGGGCGGAGGGAAGGGGTGACGCGGCGTCTCCACCCTCTCGGCCTGCACGGCCTGCAGACTGATTCCGAGAGTCGTTTTCGTCGCTCTGTCTCTCTCGCACTCATGGCGCGTCCCGTGTAGGTGCGAGAGAGACAGAGCGACTCTGGGAACTGCACGGCCTGCAGCGGAGCGGACGGCGGCGGCGGCGCAGCGTTTTAGCCGAGATGTGAATTAAACGCCGCTTTTATTCTCATCGTGGAGCTCGTTTCGTCTCGCTGTCTCTGTCGCACTCGCAGGGCGGCTCGTAGGGCCCGTAGGGGTGCGAGAGAGACAGAGCGACGGAACGGTTCTCCGACGGGTTTCCACGCCGAAGTGTCGCCGCCGTCCTGGAGCGCCTAGCACCTCCCCCTGGCTACAGGGACGTCCCCGATATTGCACATAAATGTTATGCCCGAGGCCCGGGGGCCCGCCGCCGAGGCGGAGTCCTTCTCGCCAACGTGTGCGTTGTCGTGGAGGTGACGTGGCGGCAGGGACCTTTGGCGCCTCCTCAAAGAGACTCTACTTGTCGATGGAGAGCGCCCCGCGGCCCGCCACCCCTACCGCGCCGCCGCGCCGCCGACAGTCACACCGACCCCGACACACCGAGGAATTGGATATCACACTCTCCGCTATGGCATTTTTCCGCTACGGTTCTCTGGTGGGTGCGGTGAGAGCAGGGCGGTGGGCCGGCGGTTTGGCCGCGTCCCCCCAAGCCCCAGGCCCGCGGCCACCCTCCTAGCCTCGCGCGGGGCGGGCCTCCCCTTCGGCGCTCTGTCCCTCTCGCACCCTGACGGAGAGCCCCATGAGTGCGACAGAGACAGAGCGATGAAACGACTCTTCCGAAGCCCGCAGGCCACAGGCCCGTCGCAGGGGCGTCAACTCGGGTCACGCTTCCCGCCCCGCTGTCACAATTGTGACACCGACTCATCCGCAGTCATTGTTAATCATTCTCCCCGCTCGATATGAAAAATCAGTCCCGTTCATCATGATTTTTCATCCCCGCCGCCGCCGGTCCGATCGGAAAGCTCTTTTGCACGAGGGAGCGAGAGAGAGAGAGAGAGAGAGAGAGAGAGAGAGAGAGAGAGAGAGAGAGAGAGAGAGAGAGAGAGAGAGAGAGAGAGAGAGAGAGATCAATCTGAAGTGGGATAAAAAACTTAATAGAATGTTTGCAGCGCGGGGCGCGCGGAGAGCAGGATTCTTCATTGGAAGCTGCAACCATTCAGGACGAGAAAGGCGGGGCGGAATATGATTACGATATAGCATCAGCGTTTTGAATCCACGACAAAGTAGAGGCCCCACCCGCCCCGCCCCGCCCCGCCCCGCCCCGCCCTGCCCCGCCCACCCCGCCTCGCCCCGCCCTCCTCGCGAACCCATTGTCGGGGACATATTGCTTTTCTTGTATTTCACCTGGCCGCGGCGAGACGCGCGCCTTACGCCCCAGTTTCGTCTTGCTTGCGTGCGTGCGTGCGTGCGTGCGTGCGTGTGTGTGTGTGTGTGTGTGTGTGTGTGTGTGTGTGTGTGTGTGTGTGTGTCGGTGTGCGTGTATTTTACAATAATCTCCCGCTGGCGGCGCTCGCCTTCAAATTATTTTTTCGCGCCCCTTTTGCCTAGTGTGTTGCGCGCGAAGTGCGAAGTGCGACGTCACGGGCCAAAGGGCCAAAGGGCCGGCCGGCTGATTCCGAGAGTCGCTTTCGTCGCTCTGTCTCTCTCGCACCTGTACGGGACGCCCCGTGAGTGCGAGAGAGACAGGGCGACGACTCTCGGCCTGCGGAGGGTGGCGCGATGTGGAGCGCGGCATCATCCGCCGCTCGGCAAGGTGTCCTTTGTCAGCGAGTGTCAATAAGCATCCCGTGTCGAGTGTCGCGCGCGAAAGAATAGCAATAAAGTGAACAATGACAAACCGGGGGATAAAACACGGAGTGGAAAAGGCAGCCCCCGGAAGATAGGCATCTGGTGTCGCAGTGGCGCGGCAGTGCAGTGGCGGCGGCGAGGGGAGTGCCAGCCGCGCCATTCAAAAGAGCGATTTGTCGCTCCGTCTCTCTCGCACCCTTATGGACGGCGCCATGAGTGCGACAGAGACAGAGCGACGAAACGACTCCACTGAATCGGCTGTCCTTGGCTACTTTAAAGTGTAGCGGCGTCTCAGCTTGCCCGTTTTCCTGTTTCCACCCCCACTACAGTGTGTAACCGAGACGGTGGGCTTGATCGTGCGCTGCTTGTGCTTCCGCAGGTGTGAAGCGGGCGCGGATATCGGTGGACGGCGACGGCGACGACGAGGACGACGGCGACGACGACCGGTCCGAGTCCGGCGGCAAGAGGGCCGGCAGCGTTCGGTCCAGCAGGTCGGGCACGCCGCCGGAGCAGGACAACGACCAGCCCCTGCCGCTCAGTGAGTACCCGGAACCTTGAACATGCTGGAGCTGACTCAGCCTCGCGTTGATTGCACAGTGGGCCAGAAGACCGGTGGAGGCGGCCAAAACTCTAGACCGAGGGGGAAACGACTGAGAAATTTTGTGTACATCGGATAGGGATAACCCCGGATAACCCGCGGATTACCTCCGGATTACATCGAAAAATTTCCAGGATTACCATTGGATTACGCCGGATTACCCCGGATTACCTCAGAATTTCCCCGGATTACCTCAGAATTTCCCCGGATCACTTCGAAATTTCTGGTTATCCGGATAGCGGATAACCAATTTGCTGTACATCGGATAACCGAAGTCGTTTCCCCCTCGCTCTAGACGCGTTTTGAGCTCCAGAGCTGCTTAACAAGACTCGAACCGAACGTGTGACCCCACCAATGGATTCCTCGTTCGGAGAGGAATCCATTCGTGGGATCACACGTCCGGTTCGAGTCCCATTTAGCGACTCCGGAGCTCAAAACGCGTCTAGAGTTTTGGCCGCCTCCGCCGGTCTTCTGGCCCACTGTGGAGGGGTTTCTGACCGCCCCTCTCTCCACAGTGCACACGAGCGGACCGCCGACGCCGTCCCCCGAGGCGGCGGCCAGCGGCGAGGACGCCGACCACCTGGGCTCCGAGGACGGCGACGGCCCCCACCCGCGGCTCACGCCCCCGCACCTGCCGCTGCCCCTCACCCTCCCGGAGAACCTGTCCCTGCCCAAGAAGCCCTCGGCCGCGGCGTTGAGGAGCCGGCGCGAGCGGGAGCGCGAACGGGAGCGCGAACGGGAGCGAGAGCGGGACCTGCGGCGGGAGGAGATCCAGCAGCACCACCTGCAGCACCAGTTCATGCAGTACCCGCAGCAGTACCAGCACTTCCAGCAGCACCAGGCCTTCGTGCAGCTCAACCACTCCATGGTAAGCGAAGGGGCGCCTCACAGAGGACCAGAAGACCGGTGGAGGCGGCCGACGGTTTTTGAGCTCCACAGAGTCGTTGGATGGGGCTCAATCCGAGCGTGTGACCCTCCCTCGGAGGAGCAATCCATTTAGTGGGGTCATACGTTCGATTCGAGTCCTGTTTAGCGACTCTGGAGCTCAAAACGCGTCCAGAGTTTTGTCCGCCTCCACCGGCCTTCTGGCCCACTGTCCGCCTTGCACCCCGTACTGAGCTGAGCCGAATCTAAACTCTCACGTTTCTTTGCAGCAACAGATGCAGCAACAGCAACAGCAGCAGCAGCAGCAGCAGCAGCAGCGGTCCCCGGTGGACGTCCTCCTGCGCGTGTTCCCGGGGCGGCGGCGCAGCGACGTGGAGGCGCTGCTGTCGCGGTGCCGCGGCGACGTGCTGCAGGCCATGGACCTGATGCTGTGCCTGGACCAGGAGGCCGTGGTGGCGGCCGCGGTGGAGGCCGAGCCCAAGTCGGCCTTCTCGCCGCTGGCGCCGCCGCAGCGCTACAGCCCTCGACGCTTCCTGGCCGCGCCGTACGCCGGCACGGGGTACTTGCCCACCGTCATCCGGCCGCCCGGGCCGCTGGACTACGCCCTGCCGCTGCTCGGCCCGCACGGCCCCGCGCACCACCACGACGCCAACACCGCGTCCTCGCCCGGCTCCGGCTCCGACAAGACCAGCTACTCGGAGTAGCGCCGCGCGCGCCGGCCGCGGCCGGGCCGTCTTCCTCTGTGATTGAGAGCGTCATCGCCGGCGAGGTGATGTTGTGATGTGAGCGTGCGTGCGTGTGTGTGTGTGTGTGTGTGTGTGCGCGCGTGTGTGTGCGCGCGCGTGTGTATGGGAGAGGGAGTGAGTGTGTGAGTGCGTCTGCTCATCGGCGCCCCAGGTGATGCAGCATGACGCGAATCAGGCTAAGCCGGCATGCTGGCATTCGAATGCTCTTTGTCGGGGGCCTCTCCGAGAACAGCCGTGAGTACAAAAGAGAGCAGCCCCCAACTGTTTTAGTTACTATATTTGCATGTCGCCGGAGAAACCTTGCAGCGCAAACCAAAGATGAATGCCTCACCGTGTGTTTGGAGACCGTCCGTCCATGGCGCGCTCCTCCCCGGGCCCCGGGCCGCGAGAACCCCGTGCTTCCCGCTTTCTGTCCCCGTCTTCTGTCCCCGTCCCTGCCGCGTCGGTTTGACGAGAGAGGCAGGCAGCTGCCGCCAGGGCCTGCAGACTGAGTCCAAGAGTCGTTTTCGTCGCTCTGTCTCTCTCGCGCTCACGGGGCGTCCCCCGAAAGGTGGGAGAGGGACAGAGCGACGCGGAATCAGTCTGCAGGACCGCCAGAGCCAGGGGGCGCGTCGCGCCGTGACTAGCCGCGTCGCGTCGCCGCCGCACCGCGTCCCGCCACGCCACTGTGGGGGCACGGCACGTGGGGCGAGAAAGGTGCTTCTTGAGATAACGGATCCGGGGAATGGGTCGCTCACTCGGCAGCGCGCGGCGCGGCGATACGCGGGGCAGCGCGGCGACGCACAGTGGGACAGAGGACCGGTGGAGGCGGCCAAAACTCTAGACGCGTTTTGAGCTCCAGAGTCGCTGAACAGGACTCGAACCGAACGTGTGACCCCACCAATGGATTCCTCGTTCGGAGAGCAATCCATTGATGGGGTCACACGTTCGGTTCGAGTCATGCTCAGCGACTTTGGAGCTCAAAACGCGTCCGGGGTTTTGGCCGCCTCCACCGGTCTTCTGGCCCACTGTGCGACGCAGCGCGACGCAGCGCGACGCAGCGCGACTCAAGGAGCCCTTTTCGGGCGCGACGCGCCGCGCCTTGTGCAACGTGTGCCCGGCCGTGCCCGGTATCGGAGACGTCGGAGACGTCGGAGGGTACCTGGAGGGCTCCTCAAGGCGCGGCCTGCCCGCCGCGGCCTGCCAGCCTCACGGCCTCAAGGGCCACTTCCGCGCACAAAGGGCGAGTGCGCAGCGTGAGCGCAGCGTGCGTGCGGCCTCGTTGAGCAACCGACGATCGCAGTGCAGTGCCAGTGGCCCTTCATCGACCGCCGCTTAAGGCACCTCGGATTCATGACCGGTCGTCTTGAGGCCCTTCAAGAGGGTCGTTGGTCTTCTTAAGGTCCTCCAATCGGAAGTCTTCACCCGCAGAAAAACAAAAATTTCAATGAGGAAAAATGTGCTTTATTGCTGAATTTTATGGACGGGAAGTTTTCATCCGGGTGTTGGTTTGAGCGTATTGGAGTGCTTTAAGACTTAGTGGGTCACCGGGTCACCGAAGCTCCTACAGAGGGCCTCCAGGAACCTTTAACTTCTTGAACCCGATGCAAAACCACCGCTGTAACCGCCTGATTCCTCATATGTCGCTCCGTCTCTCTCGCGCGCACGGGTCACCCTGAGGGGGAGAGAGAGAGACAGCGCGATGAAGTGCAGTGCAGAACCACCGGTGCAGCTGCAGAACTTCCCCGTGACGACGGTTATCAACAGCAGACCACGACGTCGTCGTGACAGTGGCACGGGGAGGCCGGGACACTGGGACCGCTCTCAAGTGGCGTTTTAATGATTTTTTCATTATTTGGGATTAGTAAAGCGCGCGGCTCGCTATGCCGCCGAGGGACGACACGTTCGTTGGACATTGTTGCCCCCGGAGTCTAGCGCAGTAGCACCCCTTTGGCCAAGCCTTTGGCGATACAATGCAGCCGTGCCTTGCCTTGCCGTGCCGTGCCGCGCCGTGCCGTGCCGTCCCGTGCCGAGCCGTGCCGTGCCGTGCCGTGTCGTGCCGTGCCGTGCCGAGCCGCGAAACGTGACGTGGAGGCGGCAGCGAGGAGGGATGCAGCGGTGCATTCAGACAACGGATGAATAAATAAATAGCCGATGAATGAACACTATTATTACGATTGCTGTGATCCTTTTTTAACAGAGTGAGCGCGGAGAGGAGGGTCGCGAGGGGGTGGGTTTTGTGGCCTCGCGCGCGCGTGTGTGAGTGTGAGTGAGTGATACCAAATTGGTGAATAAGGAGGAGGAACAAAAAGCAGGACGGGGAGGGGGAGATGGAACCGAACGGAAGGGTCAAATGGTTCACTTTTAGACAATTATTGTGTAATTTGAAACCCGGTAGGAGCGCCGCATGGACGGGAGCCTCTTCTTTAAAAAAAAAACAATAAGCAAATTGATGTACACTTTTATTCTCTTCTTTGGCTGTTTCTCGTAATAGCTGTCCACTTTTGATGAATATAAATTAAAATGAAAATGTTATTGTTATTCTTGTTCTTGTTTTTGTATGCGTAGTCATGGATGTGGATGTCGCGTTGCATCCGTCGAGGTTGTACAGTAATTCTAGTTCAGTTTACTTTGTCGATTTTAAAATGATATTACCTCTAATGCATAGTTTGTAAGTTTGTGTAATTATCCTCCAGCGTGTAGATAGTACACCATGCAAGTGCCTGCACAGGTGCGCAAAATACCCAGTCATTACGAAGTGTATCAACAGATTTCTTCTTATTGTATAATGTTTTAAAAATTGCGTAAAATTTGCGTAAAAATTGTTATAGCGCTGTTTGGCTCGCAGACAGCAAATCAAAGTATATGTACCCATTAAAATGACGTACAATAATAAATCTATACCAAACAATTATGTATGATAAATGTTGCCAAATTAGATGACAAATATATTGATGAAAATTAAAAGACGAACCGCCTGATTCTGTTCCTTTTCAAACCGTCCCATCAACCACACTAAATGCTGTACAGTGAAGATTCTCCATATTATGGTGAAAAGTTTGCATATTATGGTGGTGCAGCTGACTTCATAAGATACCATTGAGAAATTCACTGTACCTTATAGATTTTTTGACGCATTTCGTTGGTGTCATGCAGAAAATCTCAACCATATTATGTTGGTGCAGCCTTTCACCGTAAGACATTTACAGTGCACTCTCTTGTCGGTGGACAGCGACATGGAGACATAGCAACTAGCTGCGTTTTCGAGTTTCCGAGTGAAGAGTGTCGCGTTGCTCGCAGTGTAGGGGCCGCGCCGCCGGCCGTCCCGCGCCTAATGGTTCGGCAAACAAGCGGCTACTTGTTGCCAGCTTAAACAACGACGCGATGCCACACATGTGGCGTACCTGCCCATCGGCCCGCCACACAGTGGGCCAGAAGACCGGTGGAGGCGGCCAAAACTCGAGACGCGTTTTGAGCTCCAGAGTCGCTAAACAGGACTCGAACCGAACGTGTGACCCCACCAATGGATTCCTCGTTCGGAGAGCAAAGAGGAGGGTTCACCCGTCGCGCGGGACTATTTCAAAACCCGCCGTTTTCTCCACCGGTCCGCTGACAAGAATAAACTACTAGCAGCACGACGGCTCCAGCCTGGCTGCGCTGGCTGTGCCTTTCTCGCTCTCCGTCGGCCCGAATGACTCCTCCAGCAGAGACTCCAGCGAGTGTTTCCAGCATCGTGTTTGCGTGGAGGTGTGTGTCAGTGTCTGTGTGTGTGTGTGTGTGTCTGTGTGTGTGTGTGTCTCTCTCTCTCTGTGTGTGTGTGTGTGTGTGTGTGTGTGCGCGTGCACACAGGCGCGACCACCACGCGGCCACCACGACCTCAAAGAGGGCAAACAACCTTTTACTGGCTGCAGCGCCGCGGCGTGGCGTGGCGTGGCGTGGCGTGGCGTGCCCCTCCGCGGCGTGGCGACACTGTTTTCTTTCTGAAATAGGTCTATAAGTGACAACAAACACGAATGATGGGCCGGGCATTGATTTGCATTCGGTCGGCCTGTTTGGACAAGTCTACTTGCTCACCGCGTCCACCGCGGCGCGAGCACGCACGCCCCTCCGGACCCTCCGGACCCTCCGGGGTCTCGGCTTTCCAAAGGGGTACTTGTCTGGGACCGAAGCGACGGCACCGTGCCGGACCGCCGCACAGTGGAACAGAAGACCAGTAGAGGCGGCCAAAACTCTAAACGCGTTTTGGGCTGCAGGGTCGATAAATAGGACTCGAACCGAACGTGTGACGCCACCAATGGATTCCTCGTTCGGAGAGCAATCCATTGATGGGGTCACACGTTCGGTTCGAGTCCGGTTTAGCGACTCAAGAGCTCAAAACGCGTCTAGAATTTTGTCCACCCCCACCCACTGTGCACCACGCCCGGCTGGCTGGGAAGAAACAAATCCGAAGAAACAGAGAATTTCTAGCGAAAGAAAGTCCGTTGCCGCTCGAACGCTACCCCAGTCTGTTAGTCTGGCAGTCCGCGCTGCTCGGCGTTGCTAACGGCAGCGGGGGGACTTGACGGACTTGGCGGGCTCGATGGAGAGCTGGTGGAATTACGGAGCCAGGAATGCGGGCCGCGGGGCGTCGGCGGGGGCCTCGGCGGGAGGCCATTCACGGAGCAGCTTCATTGACGGCGAGCTGGTGTCTGTTTCAATGGGGCGGGACACAGAATAACTGGATTAGATTCCGCTTGACGTGGCGCAGCGCGCAGCAGCTAGAGTGGCCACCACCTGTGCCTCGGTCAAGTGCCGGGGCACGGCCACGCCGGCGGCGGGGTGCCGCGCCGAGTGGACGCTCTAGCGGCCGACCGAAAACCGCAACGAA